TGTATTAAAGGGGATCTAGTTTATGTATTCACACATAGTCACAAATAAGCATCAACCCACCTCTGGCCCTACTGTACCCAGATGGAGTATTAAGATTAGTATCACAAACTTCCCTAATCCAGCCCGGTACATGTCTACCGCCCTCTTAGAGGATCTACTGGAAGAAAGGGCCAACTTTAATTCTATATTAAATACACATTACAAATAAAACTGATTTATAAATAGTTGTAATTTAAACTTTAGCCAATACCTTGACATGGTAATATTTGCCCTCTCTTTCGCTTAAGGTGCTCCTGATCTGACTGTCTCTGCTTTGAATAGCTTTGTGCTTTATAACATACTTAAAGAGCAAGTCACCCCCTACCATAGTCTAACTCCACTCTCACTTCATGTTTGAAAAATGCAACAAATGCTATTGCCTGGCAGACCAAGAGGGTGGAGCCGCTAACAAATACACACACACTCAGGCTCACGACAGCATTGTGACATCATAATGTACCAGTTTACATCATAGCATACCTCTTAGCCAATGGCGGTGGCAGATTTAAATTAAAATACAGTGCAGAGTTTTTACCTGACAACGGCACAACACTGCCAGTTTTAGGCAGAATATTTAAATTTTAACTAAGATGCACTGAAGTGCCGAATTATTGACGACACGTGTCTGCAGCACGATTAGACACTCGTTTATTAAGTTTATCAGCAAAAAAAAGTTTATTTGGGGGTGCCTTGCTCTTTAAACCCAGAGTCTTCATCCAGAGTTTAGACAAGTCACAAAACATTGAGCTTTTACTGCACAATTCAACCGACATATGTTTTTCATTATAATCCCCTTTTACTACGACTATTTTTGCTACAACATAAAATTATCAAAACAGTTGAGCTAATATTGACGGACAACATAAATACTGTAAAGGAAATTCAGCTGGAAGCTGGGATCGTATATGTCGTCGTTCAGTGCCAGCAGAGGAGGGAATGAACTACATATGGTGGCTTTAGCTAAGTTATCTCAAATTACTTGAATGAACCGTAAGTAAAGCAGCTTGAAATGGGTATGTATCTGGTTCAATGGGATTCCAACTGGGTCACACAGCTATTAAAGTTAGTTGGGAGCAGTGTGGTGGCAGTCTGCCTCTGCTGGGTGAGTACTAAAGCTGCTGTTCAGCTCTGCAGGCAGCTGCAGCAGAGGTGGGAGCGTGTGCACGGGAATAAAGCACAGAGACGCTGGCAGGATTGGTTAATGTTTGCAAACAAGTTAATCTCTTTTTGCATCAACAGATTAACACAAATCATTTTACCACAAGAAAAATCTGAATAATTTTATACCAGTTTGAGATGTTTAGCTTTCTTCAACAGAAAAAAATTCACTAATTCACAATTTCTCTCTTTTTTTATTTAGCTGTCACTTTTACCGAAAGGGACTTACAATTTTCAAGATAAAAATGCAGATAATTAATCTAATATGCACACTTTGTAGGAAACTAGTCTACCTGAAAACCCTCACACGCGGCCGAGATTTGAACCTACAACCTGGACACATTGCTAACAATTGTGCCACCAAATGATGCTTTCATTAAAGTCCTTTTCTTTAATTGAGAACCTCAAACCCAAGAAAAGTCTCAAGTCACCATGCTAGAAATGTGAATAAAAAATTATTAAAAAAAACAATACATCAAATAAAGCTGTAATGCCTGAGGACATGATACCTGTTTGTTTGTTTTTTATAATTAGCTGGCTGGACGTGAGACCGTGGCCATCTGAAACTGCTCATCTGCACAACCTCAGCATCGAGAAAGTGGCAGTTCGCGGCTAAATCACTCATTCAACCAGATGTGAATTCCCACCATTTCCTGACCCAGCCAGAGGAGGTCAGTAAGTTTCAACATTTATAGCTTCTGATTAGAGTATGCAGAGGCCAGGCTGCAAACCTAATTCTGCACTTTTCAGTTTCCTCTCCTGGTGCTGCAACAACTGATAGAGACAGACTTAAACAATCTAAGCTTCTCCCTTAGTGGATGTTTGCAGCAGGTAACAGATGAAGACAGCTTCCAGACTCTGTCTGTCCTCTAAATGATAACAAGCTGCTGCAGGAATCACCGCTGATCACACGTCTCTGATACCAGAGCCTTTACTATCCGTCATGGCTGCTGTGCTCATTTGTGACACAGTTAATAAGATTCAAAACAAATGTGTTAACATTGCCTGCAACATTGTCTTGTTAAACATGTGTCGGTATCTGGTCCCAGACCATTAGCTGACTCTTTAAGAGGCTACATTTTTATTAACTAAGCTTGTTGGTCCAGCACACACACATCTCTAACGGGCGTAACCCATCTGCCTGATACACACGCATCCTATGTGACTCATCACAAATAAACTGTTTACCATTTTAATTCAAATCCAGCTCTTCCATCTCATTAGATCTTCAAGAATAGGGATTACCAAGAATAGATGCAGGGATTTCATTTATGCGGCTTGCTGAGAGCTCGTCTGAAGATCCCGGGGTTCTTGCTGGAGGTTCACGCTACAAGAAGCACACAAATGACTAATTAGGATGAGAAAATGACCAGGGACAGAAAATACGCAGTTTGGGTGAGCTCAAACGCCCAAACAAAGTGATTCTGTCTACCGTAGTCATAGATGAGTCAAAACATTATGACTACATACAGTAAAGTGATAAATTCAAGTGTGTTGGATGCAGCATCATCAGAGACCTGGAAAGATTATATTAACAGCTTGAGTTACAGTTTATTATTTTTTAATAATGTGCATCTAATAAATGCTGTGAATATGCAACAAACAACACAGATGGTGATTTATGTAAAGATAAAATCCTAATAATTAAAACTAAAAATGTCACCATACCTACTCCTGACATACGATCCTTTGTGTCCTCCCTGCAGTCGTTACTGAGGACATCTGTGCAGATCATCTTTAACCGTGTTACTGCTTAAATAGACAAGGAAGCACTGACTTAATCAATTTAATTAAATTGCAAATCATTCCTCCCTGTGCTTGTGAGCAACATTATTTATGCTGCTCTTAAAAAAAACTCCATCTATTACCTGGGAGTGGGTTTACACTAGATGTGCACCTCTGAACCACTAACAAGCATCCCGTCTGGAGAGCAAGCGTGCATGATTAGGCTGCTTTTGTTAAGTCTGAATAAATGCATTTTATGCAGAGACAATGCTACTGATGGGTCACGCCTGGAAAACTCAGTTATTTGGCAGGCAACATTTGCATGTCCTCATATGTCTGTGACTGTAGCTGCAGGAGAGCAGAAAGGAGGAAACTAAATACCTCACTGGCACTGAGCTAACGTGCAAAAAAGGGCCCTCAGTCTTCTCTGGAGTAACTTTTAGCTGCTTGACGATGGTGTTCCTGCATGCTAAACAGGGAGCATCCCCAGCTGACGGTAGGAGCAAGTGGCTGGGCTCTGTGTCCGATGTCTCTATTCACTTACACAATCGACAGACGGGAGTGGGAGCAAAGTCGTGTGGAAAGGGCACTGGGGAAAAGGAAAAAAAAGATCATGAGATAAAAAAGGCAGACTAATAAATCATGCCAGTGATGCATTAACACATTCATGAGGCAGTGAGGTGAAAGGAAATGTGTAAGAGCCTTCGATGACATGCAACGGTGTGAGGATCAGACTCAACCGACGGGGTTTGATGTTTTGAAACCATCATGATGACATATTACTCATAATAAAGATGCTATTTTCCAATGAAACATGGCAGCTTTTTATAGCTACTGAATCTGACCAATGGGATGAAACTGAAATGAATCACCCCAATGCTGACTTTAGCTGGGGCAGCCTGAGCCCATAACCTCACATAAGCGGCAGTGATATTGGCAAGGCAGCTTTATTTGTGTAGCACATTTCATACGCAGAAGCAATTCAATGTTCTTTCCTTTTGGGACAGAACAATTAAAATACACACATCTTGACAAAATTAAATACACAAATTATTTCAGATTTAGAAATAAGAAAAAATATTAAGTTAAAGGGTGAATGGTTACAGGTGCAGAAGGTGCAGCACAAAAAACATTCAGTCAAAGGCTGATGAAAACATGGAGGTTTTTATTTTTGATGTAAAAGTGTCTGGAGTTGGGGCACATTTTAGGTCATGAGGAAGCTGAGTCCATCTGTGTGCAGCATCGTAGCTAAAAGCAGCTTCACCCTGCTTGGTTCTGACCCGAGGTTCTACCAGCTGACTGTCTCCTCTCAGAGCTCTGCTGGGCGTGTGTACAACATTACAAGATCTGGCCCCATGCCATTGAGTGATTTATAAACTACAAGTACTTTGAAATCAATTCTGTTGTTTACTGGTAACCAGTGTAGAGATTTAAGAACAGGGGTGATGTGTTTTCTTGGTTCATGTTAAAGGTCTACCAGCAGCATTATGAACAAGCTGCAGTTACTGCACAGCTGTTTTGGGAAGACCAGACAAAGGACCATTGCAACAGTCCAGCCTGCTGGAGATGAACACATGAATGAGTTTCTCTAGGTCTAGTCTGGACATGGGACCTCCGAGTCTCGCTAATTGATGGAGATGATAAAATGCTGATCTAGTTATAGCTTAAATGTGACCAGTGAAGCTCAGGTCTGAATCAATGGTAACACCAAGATTTCTAACCTGGGTCTTTGTGTTTATTCCTCTGGAGCCAAGCTGAGCAACAACCTCCATCCTATCCTTCTTATTTCCAAAAGCAATATCTTCAGTCTTGTCTTGGTTTAACTGGAGGAAGTTTGATTGCATCCGGTCATTAACCTGCTAAGGATGCTTTTCAATCAGCTGTTTGTGGACAGCTAGAAGGGTTTAATCCCTGGATTTGGATGTGAATACATAAATACGATGATTTGTGAAAGTAAATGGCCACCATCCTCCTGGAAGGTAAATGTTTGCTTCAGCAGAGAAAAACTTTCAAGTATAGTAAAATAATCGACCCAGAATAAATAAATCTATGTTTAAGACAAAGGTAACGATTACAGGTTTCATTGTAAATTTAAACTTTATTTATTTGACATTTCTTTCAGTTCAACACCCCACCCCTCCCAAAAAAGCCCACCAATAATTAAAGCCCATAGACATCTTATATTACAATGATAAGATGTCTATGTTTATGCCTACAATGTTGTAAGAGAATGTGCCGACACCCCTCTGCTGCCACCTACTGCACATGAGCTGAACGTTGCTACGTCTGTTTAAAGTAGAACCACTCTTGACAACTGAACTTCAGACCATGCTCGGGTCAGGAAAAGCTGATGCTGCCAGCAGATGTGTAGTATCCTGTGCAGTCGGTTGAATATCTCTGAGACAGCTGGACCGTGTTCAGCTCAAATTCACCAAAACAATACGAGTCAAATTTCTGTAAAGAGAAAAAATAAAAATACACATCGAAACATCAAAATTAGATTTTTTTTGTTAATGTTATTCAGAATGTCTTTTCTACAACAAAATAGTCTGATATGATTTCAAAATGTCATTAATATTGAGTATAAATACAATTTTCTAATAACAAAAGTGTCACAGATCAGAACGTTTGTTATTTTAAAACACAAATTATGAGATGCGTGTCATGTAAACTGTTTATATCTCTCACATCAACATGACTCTACAGCTGAATAAATACTGAATCTGATGATTGAGTGATATTAGTGTCGTTGACATATTTTATCACACCAGCTGAACACGTTTGCATTTGCCTTTTACAGCTGCTACATAAAACCTGCATAGTCATAGACTCTTCTTTAACATATTTCTAATATATTCACAATCAGACAGAACAAATCAGAACTGCTGCTACAGGCAGACCCAAAACAAAGTCCTAAACGGACGTCAGAGCACAAACATCTGGCTGCCTTGACCTTTAAGGAGATCACGCTGTTTCACTCATTTCACATTGCTGCTAACCTTGGGACAGAGTCATTCAGTCAGTGTGATATCAAAGCACCTTGAAACACTTGAGAGAAGTGAGTCAGCCCCATGGAGCTGCTCCACTGAAAGATTGAAAGTTGTGAGTACGACTCTGGGTGTGACACAGACCTTCAAAATATTTCGGCCATCAAAAGCTTCTCGTTCACTTGTGGTTTGCCTTCTTGCTCCGCCCACTTCTTCAGCTGGAAAAACACCAGAGACACATGTCACACAGAGGAAGAGCAGATAAGTTATCACAAACAACCAATAAACATGTTTACTCCCAACCACGGTTGCACTAGGACACCATTGTGAGGCTGAAGGTTATGAGTTGTGAAATAGGGACTGAGGGCGAGGAACACTTGAGGCTTGTCAGCACGGTAAACATGGTCCGCTGTGGCGGCGGGCCCCTCGTTGGAGCAGTGTTGTTGATGCTGGTGCAAATTTGAGAGCTGCTGCTGGACTGACTCCATGTCCAAAATGAATGAAGACCTTGTCAGAGCACTTGGAAAACAGAGTGTTCGGTACACGGCTCAAAGCACAAACTGAGAAGCACCTCCCTGATTCCTCTCTGCACACATTAGTTGCTGTAATTGTGTGCGTCTCCAGTCCGAGGGGACATTGTAAAGCGCATTTAGAGCACATCTCATCTCTGTTCTTGTGTTAACTAAAGCCACCTAAGACACATTGGACACCTGAAATATGTCTCATCTATCTGTTAGGGTAAGGAAAGAAATAAAATCAGTCTGTTTTGTGTTAAACAAGCTGTGAAAAGTGTCCTGAAGGCACGTTCTCAACTAGAATTACATAAAAAAACACTTAAAAGCTACAATTTTCACATGACAATCTGCTATAAGAATTTAAAAAGGGACATAAGACTTTTTTATAATAGTTATATGGCCGATACCAAAGAACGTTCATACTTTTTCCGCGATGCGTTCTTCAATCTGTCCCGGGTCTGCTGCTAAATATCTTTTTACTGTTTAACGGGGCAACGGCAGGGCTGGTGACGAATATATAGGAAGAGGCGTCTTGACCAATCACAAGCTTGTGGTCTCCGTTGCAATCGGCAGATGTTTAAAATATTGGGCACGTCTCCATCACCCTCTGTGAGCCCGTCGGAGCGCCCTTGCTCCGACATATAATGGCGTTGCGTGTCTCCGTAGCGACGCAGACAGAGAAGTATAAATCAGGCTTTAGAGCATTCAGCGGCAGCTCTCTTTCACAGACGAGAGGTGGTTCTGTTCTACTTTACCCGTTTGTAACATCACAAACAGCAACTTTTTTAAACTGCTTGTTTTAGGCGTTTAATTAGTAAAAAAAAACAAGCACTGACAGAAAACAGATGGATGGGTTTTATTCACATTTGGAGTGTTTATAGAGCTAGTAGAGACCCACATGGTAGAACTTTTGTCCCTTTAAATCAATCCAAGAAGCACCTTTCATTGTGTTAAATAAAACACAGATGAGACAGGAGCATCAGTTCAGCGGTTTCTTGTTTAAATGCGTCTGAGGATAAAAGTTCTAGCTGGAACAGATAATTCAAATAAATGGAAGCAAAAATGAAAACAGTAAAAAGTTTAATCTGTGTTGCTTTTTTTTTAGTAAATGCATCCATCAAATTCCTCTGAGTGGTGATCAGAAGTCAAAAACGTCTTCATTAGACCTGCAATTGATTAACTTTGAGTCAAGGTGGCTATCGGAGCCAACAGAACTTTACAAAAGCAGAAACGGTTAGATCTCAGTCGGTTTGCAGATATTTAACTACAACCTCTTTTTAAAAGTGTCCCGTTTACCTGTGGAGTCCTTTCTGAACAGAGTGTTCATCACAGTGCAATGCAGCTTGACTCGGTCCCATTCTCTGACCATCAGTCCTGCAGAGACAAAGTATTCCACCAGCCTGTCTGCAATCAGCTGCAAGCTACAGCGTGGAAATAATCATGTTAAATAGTTAAAAACTCAAGCAGACTGAATGTACTTTAAAAATATTAAAGTTTGGATTTCTCCTTTAAATACTGACTGGTCAGATCCATCTTTCTCATTAACCTTTGCGTACAGGACGTCCACCATGGCCGGGTCATCATTCATGTACTCTATACCCATCACCTCCAACGACAGAGGCTTTCCTCCTGTGATGTCCCTGATAAAATCAAAGCTGATCACCTTGGTGCAATGTGGAAAATTAATTTTTTGTCCCTTGTAAATAATAGAATTATAAACGACTATGCTGTTGATCTGTAGTTTTCAGCAGAATTACAAATAGATCATCTATATTACAAAGTTTCAAATAAGCATCTTAAGTTTGCAAACAAAACCGACCTCAATGTGGTACAAACTAAAACTAGCATGATGTTATTTTAGAGGTTCAGAAAATGTATTAAAAACAAAAAGATTGCAGCTTTCGAATTACTTGAATCACAATAAATGTAATCAAGTCACAACATGTTACAGGACATGAATAAAATGGATTTTGCCTTCACATCCTATAATGAAATCATGTTAGTTCCTAAGATGCTACATCAGGTCATAAACATATATTCTATAATCACCACAAACTAATTGGTCACAAAAACAACAACAACAAGAAGTCTTTGAATCTACTTTGTGATATGTGGCACCATTGTGTTAGCAGATCCTCTGAGACTAACTGGTTCAGCGTATGCTTGAACAACCCGTCCTACACCTTCTTAAGCAACCGACCTTTTTTTCTCTTCTTTTCTAATGGCATGACCACTCTTGTTTTTGTAAGATACAAAACAAGCATTAATGATTAAACTATTTGAATAGTATTTTAAAATGTCAGAGTAAAGCTTAGTGTGCTACCTTAGCCTACCTGATAAAATGTTGGCATTCTTGCAGGTGTTCACAAGCTTTTCTCACTTCTGCATCGTTTAACAAAGTTAGGGTGCCAAGAGTCAGATGAAGCTTTGCAGGACTCTGAAAGATGCTTTCCCCAACCCCGTGATCCTGCGCATCAATAACAAACACATGATTTATTCACAACACGATGTGTTCATGTCCAACCGCCACCATAATCCTTTAGGTAATTCACCAAAGTACCTGTGAACACTGCTTCAGCACCTCATTTTTGAATTTCAGGAAGCCTTCCTGGACTTTGGCATCGTTCAGAGGGAACGACAGGAAGTGAGTGAAAGGCTGTTTTTTCCTGAAACTCCCCACAAGGATCTCCACTCGAGTGATCGCAGAAGAAACAGCAGATTTTTGGGAACCTGTGATAACTGTTGAAGAAAATGTGTGAAAAATAATACTCTACATCTGACTTAGTTTGTGTGATCTGATTTGATCACCGTCCTCACCTATTTGTCCTTCCAATCCTTGTTTTGGGATGTTGATGGATGTCTTTGTGTCAAACTCCAGCCGCTTACGTGTTTCTCCTTTTTTTCCAATGATGTATCTATGTACACACACACACGCACACACACACGCGCGCGCGCGCGCACACACACACACACACAACAGGAGTGTCAGATCCTAAACTGCTTATTCCTTGCTAGTTTAAAAACAACAATAAACGCATATGAGTTTAGAAATGACTCACTTATACAGGACACTTGGGACATCAATGGCACAGCGGAACCCCTTATCCGTCTGTTCTATAAAGTGGCTATCACAGGTTTCACCCTCTGCTAGCTCTTCACTCTCTTTAAATGTACAAATAAAGTTTAGCTTGAAGGACTTTTGTACCAGTACCTCTATGCCGCTCAGATGTTAATACTGGCAAGGTTGATACTTGCCTGGTGGTCCCATGTACGAAATATCACCTTCTTCTTCAGAATGTTGTTGCTGAGCTATAATGTTCCTTCGATATATTCGTCCGTTTATATTGATAAGGGGTGGACGAAGAACATCCATTTTGTTAGCTAGCAAATGTTAGCTCAACTTATGCTAACACAACAGCAAAGTAGTGAAAAGCTACTGAAAAGTCATTCATTACTTCATTTTTACTAGTTGTTTAGCTAGCTAGCTAGTTACCCTTGCAAATTGTGCTGCTGACGTCAGTTGCGTTGCGACACTTTCGGTTGATTTTTGGTAGCATCTTAGCAGATTTATAAAACATAAAACAGGACATTTGACTATCAGTGTGATTCATTCATATGTTTGTGAAATCTAAAAAGCTCCAAGCGTTCTGTTTTTGTCGTAAGCTACTAATAGCTGAGAACTCCGTTGAAAGATAATTTATTCTCTGTAAACTGACGGCAAGGTTAATTATTTTTTAGGCGCTTGTTGGCATGTTGGGTCTAACAACACTGGTGTTGTTCGTTTATTTTTCTCGGAGCTATTAGCTCGCTTTCTTGCTGCTACTCTGTAAGCTAGCTTACTACTGCGTCACATAATTTAAAACTAAATCAGACGTTTGTTAGCTAAACTTCTAAAAGGTAAAACTGAACATTTTTTGTGCATATTTTTCACTAATTGGTTGTGATTGACAAAAGTCTTACAGAATTTTGGTTGTTTATTTTGGGGTTGTTTATTGTTTAGCTCCCTAAGCAATGGCAGCCTCTTCTTCGTCCTCCTCTGCTGGAGGTGTTAGCGGCAGCTCGGTCACTGGGTCTGGATTCAGTGCTTCAGAACTCATCCCCCCTAGAAAAGTCCTCTACACCTATCCTAAAGGCGCAGGGGAAATGATGGAAGGTAAGGAGGCTGAGTTAGCATACTTACAAAGGAATTCTGTTTAGGAAAGCTTACTGAGAATATTCGTGCAAAATTATTTGAAACTTCGGTTGAGCTGTTACCACAGAGGTAACATGGACATTTAAATGTTGTCAGACAAATCAGATCTTCTTCTTCCTTCTACTAAAAAGAGCTATTGTGCTCTGGGTCAAGGCCATCCAGGCTCGTTACAGCATAACGCACTAAGTCCCAAAAGTTTGGTTCTGTGATGGACTGAGGTAAATGGCCTGTATTTGTGTAGTGCCTTCATAGGGTTCTAAACCCCCCCCCCCCCCCCCCCCCCCCCCAAGGCACTTCACAACACAATCAGTCATTCACCCATTCACACGCTGGTGATGATGATCTACAATGTAGCTACAGCTGCCCTGGGGTGCACTGACGGAGGCAAGGCTGCTGAGCACTGGCGCCACCGGTCCCTCCGACCACCACCAGCAGGCAAGGCGGGTTAAGTGGTCACATCCTAAGCCATTTCCACATCTTTAATGGCCAAATTTATAAAAAGCACACAATGATTTTAAAACGGCATATGTAGCTTTGATGATTAATACTTTTCCAGGGAGATCCGTGCACCTCAAAATACATTCCGCAAACAATTTGGACAAATAGCTGAGGAGAACGACGTATTACACTTATTTGTTATGGATGGACAAAAAAATGACTATGAAATGTAAACCTGCACTTGGATAGCGCCATTCAGAGTCAGAGAACTCCAAAGCGCTTTACACAACAGTGTATCATTCATCCATTCACACACACATTCACACACTGATGGTGATGAGCTACACTGTTAAGCACCGTTGCCCTGGGTCATACTGACAGAAATGAGGCTTTCTAAGCACCCAGTCCATCTCACTGCCACCAGCAGGCAAAGTGGGTTAAGTGTCTTGCCCAAGGACACAACAGCAGCATTCTCTGGCGGGAGCCGAGATCGAACCTGCAACCTTCCAATTGGACAGGACAACCCACTCTACCTCCTGAGCTACTGCTGCCCTAAGGTTTCACACTAAAATAACTGTTTGTAGCAAAAAAAGACTCAATGACACAAGAAGCATTTTAGGCTTTGGTGTAATACCACATCTTAAAAAGAATTTTTTAGTCTTATTTCAGGGGTGACCAAACTAGGGCCAAAATTGTGAAATTTATAGTGGGGGCCACTTTTTTTGTGTGTAATATGCAAAAATTATGTTATCGTGATATTTTTTGTTTGTACATCTTAAAATGGGTCAAATCAATTAATAAAAATGTTTAACATAAAGAGTCAGTATTCATCAACAGGCTACTGGAGAGACAAAATTCATCATTGTTAAAATGCTATTTGGGGCTGCACAAAATTGCTCAGAAGAAATGGCGCCCGGGCCACACTTGGACGTGCCAGTCTTGTTTATAATTGATTAGACTGAGATTAGTTTTGACAGGGCAGATGAGCAACTATCTAGCTATAGTGGGACCAGTTACGTAATGTTTCTGCTGTTTTTAGAACAAATCCAGACTCAAATAATGCACTGCAGGTCATGCAATGTTTTATGTAAACTTACACCAACATAAATTTACCATTACACCGTTGTTTACATAGGTATCTGTGGTGGTTGGCTGCCACTGTGGTGGGGACTTTCATAATTATTCTGCTGGAATACCCATGCATTTTCAAATTCATGGCAGTTTATTAGTTATAAAATCTGCTGCAAAAATTTGTAAATAATTTGAAGCGCCTTTGGAGCTGGTGCCATTTGAGTAGTTGTCAGCTTGGCTGCTCGATCAGAACTAATTTTTGGAACATCTGTACTTCCCATGAAGCCCCAATTCTTTTAAACAGGTTCTGTTTTTTGTATTTTTAGATGGCTCTGACAGATTTTTGTGTGAGTCTGTGTTCAGCTATCAAGTAGCTTCAACCCTGAAACAAGTTAAACAAGGTTAGTCAAACATTTCTGTCATCCGTTTCAGCATTGGTTTCATCTGAATAATGAAGGTGTGTGTGTGTGTGTGTGTGTGTGTGTGTGTTTGTTTAGATCAACAAGCATCTAGGATGGAGAAACTTGCGAGCCTAGTGGAGGAGCTGGATGCGGATGAGTGGCGGTACAAGCCCATAGAACAGCTACTGGGATTCACGCCTTCTTAAATAAAGACCTCCAGCTGCCTTTAGTTAAAAAAATCTGCTAACTAAAATGAAAACACAAAAGGAAATAAATGTTTTTCTTTTAATTTCATAAATAATGTGTCATAAACGTTTTGACTTTTTTAACTTGTCATTAAAACCCAACAAAAGTTGTTGCTTGAAATTTTTTAATAATAAAAATGTAGCAGGTTATTATGACAGATTTTCCATCTGCTTCAGGCCTTTGGAGGTCCAAAGCTGTTCTTAGCCTCAAAGTTAAGTAACGTAACAATTGTGACAGTAAATCATTTCAAGTGAAGCATTGTGTTTCCACTTGGCTGCTCTGTAGCTCAAAAATTTGAAAACCTGCTGCCTGCTCAGCCTCCTTTCGCCATCGGTCCTCGTCACCACTTGGAGCAAAACAAAGAGAGCTTTAATAAATAGTTGTACATTCTTCACATTAGTGGCTGTTTGTTTTACTTGTGTCAGTTTCACTGTTCTCTAAGTTTCAAATATATATATATATATATTAGTGTGGTTGTTTTCATCTTGGTTGGCATTGAGGAAGTGCGTAGATCAGATGTTCTAATCAGTAGATTTTATACAAATGTAGGCTGGGAAGAACAGAGTGTACTGTACTGGGTGTAAAATGTGATCTAAGTGGAACACGCCTCCAGATGGAGGTTGGATTTCCTTATTTTTCTTTTTTTTTTACCAAGCTTAAACTTCAGAGGTTAATAGTTTTGTTGTCAAACTGCCTTTTTCAGAGCTGACAGCTTTCTGAGTCGTTGCTTTTTGGTGTTTTTATACAATTCAGAGTCTTGGGAAAATATTTTAGCTTAATAAAACGTTGTTAAAGGGTCAGGGTTAGCTATGTTCCTAAAGTAGTTAGCAAAAGTAGTTTCTAATTCAAACCATCCCTACCAGAACGAGCTGTGCTTGCACATGTTTGTGACTTTCGGTTCCTCTCCTACAAAGTGCATGCTATTTCACACCTACATGTGTGCAGAAGTGCAGCATAAATCCGCTTTCTTTCTTCTGTGATCTAACTTTAATGGATGCATCATGGTCCCAAGAAAAACAAATATATATATACGTCCATCCATCCATTTTCATCTGCTTATCCGGAGTCGGGTCATGGGGGCAGTTGCCTAAGGCGAGAGGCCCAGACTTCCCTCTCCCCAGCCACTTGTGCCAGCTCCTCTGGGGATCCCAAGGCGTTCCCTGGCCAGGTGAGAGACATAGTCCCTCCAACATGTCCTGGGTCTACCTTTAGGTCTCCTCCTGGTTGGACGTGCCCGTAAAACCTCACCAGGGAGGCATCCAGGAGGCATCCTGACCAGATGCCTGAGCCACTTCAACTGGCTCCTCTTGATGTGGAGGAGCAGCGGGTCTACTTCAAGCCCCTCCCGAATGACCGAGCTTCGTACCATATCTCTAAGGGAGAGAGCCCAGCCACTCTTCGGAGAAAACTCATTTTGGCCGCTTGTATCCGCGATCTCGTTCTTTCAGTCACTACCCAAAGCTCATGACCATAGGTGAGGGTAGGAACGTAGATCGACTGGTAAATCGAGAGCTTCGCCTTCTGACTCAGGTCTCTCTTCACCATGACAGACCGGTACAACGCCCGCATCACTGCAGATGCAGCACCAATCCGCCTATCTTATCTCACGCTCCAGTTTTCCCTCACTCGTGAACAAGACCCAGAGATACTTAAACTCTTCCACTTGGGGCAGGACCTCATCCCTGACCCGGAGAAACAATTTCCCTCTGGGATTAATAAAGTACTTTTGAATTGAATTGAATGGAAGACATTCTACCCTTTTCCGAATCAAGACCATGATCTCAGATTTAGAGGAGCTGATTCTCATCCCAGCTGCTTCACATTGCTGCGAACTGCTCCTGCGAAAGCTGAAGATCACGTTCTGATGAAGCCAACAGGACCAAATCATCTGCAAAAAGCAGAGACCTGATCCTCAGGCCACCAAAACGGATGCCCTCCACACCTTGACTGCACCTAGAAATCCTGTCCATAAAGGTTATGAACAGAATCGGTGACAAAAGGCAGCCTTGGCAGAGTCCAACTCTCACTGGGAACGAGCCAACTTACTACTGGCAATGCGGACCAAGCTCTGACACCAATCATACAGGGACCTAACAGCCCGTATCAGAGGGCCTGGTACACAATACTCCCAAAGTACCCCCCAAAGGGCCCCCCGAGGGACGCGGTCAAACGCCTTCTCCAAATCCACAAAACACATGTAGACTGGTTGGGCAAATTCCCACGCACCCTCCAGGATGCCCCTAAGGGTATGGAGCTGGTCCAGTGTTCCACGGCCAGGATGAAAACCACATTGCTCCTCCTGAATCTGAGGTTCAACAATCCGATGGACCCTCCTCTCCAGAACCCCTGAGTAGACCCTATCAGGAAGGCTCAAGAGTGTGATCCCCCTGTAGTTGGAACACACCCTGCGGTCCCCCTTTTTAAATAAGGGGACCACCACCCCAGTCTGCCAGTCCAGTGGGACTGCCCCCGATGTCCACGCGATATTGCAGAGCGGTGTCAGCCAACACAGCCCCACAACATCCAGAGCCTTAAGGAACTCCGGGCAGATCTCATCCACCCCTGGAGTCTTGCCACAGAGGAGCTTTTTATCCACCTCAGTGACCTCAGCACCAGAGATTTGAGAGGCCAACCCAGAGTCCCCAGACTCTGCTTCCTCACTGGAAGACGTGTCAGTGGGATTGAGGAGGTCTTGGAAGTATTCTGCCCACCGATCCACAACTTCCTGAGTAGAGGTCAGCGGCACACCGTCCTCATTATAGACAGTGTTGGTAGGGCACTGCTCTCCCCCCCGAGGCACCGGATGGTGGACCAGAATCTCCTCGATGCCATATGGAGGTCTTGCTCCATGGTCTCACTGAACTCTTCCCATGCCCGGGTTTTTACCTTGGCGACCACCCGAGCCGCGTTCCGCTTGGATTGCCAGTACTCATCAGCTGCCTCTGGAGTCCCACAGACCAAAAAGACCTGACAGGACTCTTTCTTCAGCTTGGCAGCATCCCTAACCACCGGTGTCCACCAGCAGGTTTGGGGGTTGCCACCACGACAGGCACCGACGACCCTGCGACCACAGCTCCGGTCGGCCGCCTCAACAATGGAGGCACAGAACAGGGTCCATTCAAACTCAATGTTCCCCGCCTCCCCCGGAACATTTTGGAATTTCTGTCGGAGGTGGGAATTGAAGCTCCTTCTGACAGGAGACTCTGCCAGATGTTCCCAGCAGACCCTCGTAATACGTTTGGGCCTGCCTGGTCTGACCGGCATCCTCCCCCACCATCTGAGCCAACTCACCACCAGGTAGTGGTCAGTTAACAGCTCCGCCCCTCTCTTCACCCGAGTGACATGCGGCCACAAGTCAGTTGAAACAACAACAAAGTCGATCATCGAGCTGCGGCCTAAGGTATCCTGGTGCCAAGAGCACATATGGACACCTTTATGTCTGAACATGGTGTTCATTATGGACAATCCATGACTGGCACAGAAGTCCAATAACAAAGCACCACTCAAATTTATATCAGGGGGCCGTTCCTCCCAACCACACCTCTCCAGGTCTCACTGCCATTGCTTATGTGAGCGTTAAAGTCCCCCAGCAGAACAAGGGAGTCACCGGAAGGAGCGTTTTCCAGCCCCCCCCCCCCCCCCCCCCCCCCCCCCCCCCCAAGGTCTCCAAAATGGGTGGGTAGTCTGAACTGTAGTTTGGTGCATAATCACAGACCACAGTCAGAACCCGTCCCCCCACACATAGGCAGAGGGAGGCTACCCTCTCATTCACTGAGGTAAACCCCAATGTACAGGCACCAAGATGGGGGCCAACTAGTATGCCCAACCCTGCTTGGCGCCTCTCAGTGGGAGCAACTCCAGAGTGGTAGAAAGTCCAACCCCTCTCAAGGAAACTGGTTCCAGAGCCATGCATTGAGGTGAGTCCCACTACATCTAGTCGGAACCTCTCAACCTTGCACACCAACTCAGGCTCCTTTCCCACCAGAGAGGTGACATTCCATGTGCCAAGATCCAGCTTCTGTAGCCGAGGATCAGACTGCCAAGGTCCCCGCCCTCAACTACCACCCATCACACACTGCACCCGACCCCTTTGGCCCCTCCCATGAGTGGTGAGCCTATGGGAAGGGGGACCCATGTTTGCTGTTCGGGCTGTGCCCGGCCGGGCTCCATGGGTGAAAGCCCGGCCACCATGCGCTCGCCAACGTGCCCCACCTCGAGGCCTGGCTCCAGAGGGGGGCCCTGGTGACCCACGTCCGGACGAGGGAGCACGATTTCCATTTATACAATTCATCATAAGAGGTCTCCGGGCTGCTCTTTGTCTGATCCCTCACCTAGGACCTGTTTGCCATGGGTGACCCTACCAGAGGCAGAAAGCCTCAGGCAACTTAGCTCCTAGGATCATTGAGACACTCAAACCCCTCCACCATGGTAAGGTGGCAGCCCAGGGAGAAGATTTATATATATATATATGTGTGTGTGTGTATATATATATATATATATATATATATATATATATATATATATATATATATACACACATACACACACACACACACATATATAATTTCATTTGGATGGATTGACTACCAGTATCAGAATCTACTATAAAGATGGGTTTGTGCATTTAAACATTTGCACACGTTTTGGTTTGATGACATTAAAAACAAAATCAAAGAAAATGTTTTTCAGCAGTGTATTTTTTTCCTGCACACATCCATTGTGGGATTTTCAAACAACCCAGAAATCTTAATTTAAGCGTTTGTTGTTCTTTTGTGAACAACTACATGGATAGGCCCAGAAAACCATGATGCAAGTGAAACATTTAGTTCATTTCTTTCTGGTTGAGTTTGTAGCTTCATGCAGCTCATTGTGTGTTTTCATCTCTGCGAAGCAGATAAAAAATCTGATGTAATGGTTGGGAGAAAAAACAGGTGACGTAATGTACACTGCAATACTTGAACCAGCCTGGTCGGGATAAGGACTGGTTAGACTTTATTCCACCCTTTCATGACTGAATGCACAAACTGCAGAACAATATTTATTGTGTCGTATTTATTTTGGAAGCGAAACAAAGAAACGTGACTGAATGCCTGCAAGCCCAGACAAGTCCCTGTACATTTCCACTACAGTGGGCTCTGCTTTTCAGCCCCCACACCCCCGTTTTCTCCTGTTTGTCTCTCCTCTCTGCTGGCATGTTACCAGGCAAGATTCAGCGTAGATGCCGTGCCCACCTTTTTGATTGGCTGCTGAGGCATGGGTGGGCGGGGCTTCTTCTCGTACTATATAAACATTGTTGCGGGTCGCCAGACTGCGCCGCAGAGAGTGACAGCTGGGAAAAGGGCAGGAGGAGGAGTGGAAGATTCCAGACGCAAAAATCAGACAATAACTATCAAAAGACTTGTCTTCAGCAACCACAACAGGCGTGTTTTCTCACCAACTGTAAGTATGATACGAATATTCGTTCGTTTTGTTGATTTTATGCGTCTGTAAAGCTCGCTTTAAAGTAAAAAAAACAAGAAGCTTTGTTGCATGTAAATTGCTTTACCTGCAAACGTTTCCTGTGTATAACGTCACTGGCGCAGCTAAATGTTCAATATTGCCACTTTTAACTGGGTTTCACTGGACAGTGTTGTTCATTTGCTGCCTTTGTCTCTGTTGAACAGCTGATTACAGCAGCAGCTGCAGGACAAACATGCCTGAAGTCTTTGCCTCTATGGACAATGGCAGCACACCTCCGTCCCCTGTGGACAGCAGTCCAAGAAGGCTGTCCTGGGGCAAACTGGTCCAAAGACTAACAGATTTCAGCACAAACAGCACCAGCATGGAGTCGGGGTCCAGTCATGGCAGCAGAAGTGATCTGTCTGAATCAGGTAAGCAGTGATGCAACCGTGTCAGAACCCTGGGAGGTGAGAGGGGCATGCATTAAGTTTTAACACACTGCTTCTCTTCCCCAGGGTCAGACATCTCAAGTGACCAGTGTCCCTCTAATGATGACCTCTTCTACGACCCGATGGAGGAGACCATCCTGAAAGAAGTAGTGGACCTTATCGCACTTAGCCTAAGAGAAGCCAAAGACTCGGACTGCGCCTTGAGGTGTGCCAAACTGCTCATTCCAGAGAAGCTCCTGGAGCACATCGGGCAGGAGCTCCTTCACCTGGCAGCTAGCGAGCCCTGCGGGCTGAGAGGGGCTCTCATTGACCTCTGTGTGGAGCAAGGGTCAGCCTGTGAGAGCATAGGACAGCTGTCTGTGGACCCCTACCTTGTCCCAACCTTTCAGCTCACTCTGGTGCTGAGGCTAGAGTCGGGCGGCCTGTGGCCAAAAATTCAAGGACTGTTTACCTCCAAGTCTCCTTCCACCCCAGTAGTCAGACAAGCGATCAAACTCGGTACCGGTTTCCGTGTGATCAGGAAGAAACTGTATTGTTCTGAAGATTTGCTCATTGAGGAATGTTGAAGTGACGATAACCTTGTAATGTCTGAGCTGACCGTTAAAGCTCTCAGAAGGGCCTTGGAACTTATGATGCCTTAGAGTAAGGACCGACTTGATCATGATGTAGCCTTTCATTTGTACTGTGAAGGAGTCAAAGTGTGTGGTACTGATGCAGGTGTTGATCACATTTAAACATTTCACAGCATAACCGTTCTGATGCTGCATCTCCTCATCGGGCATTTAGCAAGTAAAGTGCGTACCTCAGTTTCTGTTGAAACTACGTTAAAAGGGCAGCTAGCTGTATTGATCTAATGTTTGAAGGTTGTTTTTTTTTTTACACATTTATTGAATGTACACGGTTCCATCACCCAGTCACTCCTGGAAAAGTCGAGTGGAGCTTGTTTATGTTCCAGCTCTGGGTTTTAAAGGCCACTGGATTTATTTTACACTTGTTTGGACCCATTTCTTTCAACTTTATTTGATATTCTATTTCTCATCACATTGCAGTTTTTTTGTACTTTTTTTGCTCACAAATAAATTATTGCATTTTTTAAACAAATGTTGCAGTGTTCATTACCTGTGTCCTAATGAGTTGTGGGTTATTTATGTCTGAGAGAGAGAGGAAACTGCTGACTTGTCAACAAAATTGCAAATAAGAAAATGTATAGGCTAGTTTTAAGAGCTCCACTGAGGGGGAAATTTTTTTCTAGACAAATAGCAGAAATGCAGCGATTCTGGATTTAGGGCTGATTTTGATTTCTCCAACTGGGTTGAACATGGAACATTTATGGCATAGAGTGGTTCTAGGCAATGGTGACTTTTGCTTGAGTTTCTCAGATTCTTCAGATCTTTAGGAGGATCTCTTAAAAACATCACAGCTGGTGTTTTAAGTATTAAGTTAAATCTTACACATCAGCATTCAGCACTCACCAAAAATGAATTAACCTATTATAATTATGAAATTATTTAGAATAATGGCTCAACTTATTAGCATTTGACACTGCAAATGGACAAAAAAATAATTTTGCCTTTTAAAATATTTAAACAGGGAAGTTTTCACCAGATTTTATTTTATTAATGATATTACAGTATTTGGATGCCACTATGAGATACAAATGCAGAAAGAGGGCATCTCTAAACTACTTATGATTTAAAACACTTGTTTTGCAGCGTGCTGTTTGGCTTTACAGCTATATTCACAATGGTGTGTGTGTCTGTGTGTATGTATGCATACATATATATATATATATATATATATACAGTATATATATATATATATATACATAAAACTATTGCACTGTCATCAACAAACGTTTGATGAAACTACAATTTCTTTCCCCCTGCGGGGATCTTTAACACTATTGTCAGACTTAAACGTAACGTATTATACAACAGTTAGTTCCGACCGAGTGATTTGATTGGTCAAGAGACTTTCCAAGAGTGCTAATATTGGACTATAACAGCACTGGGACTGTTTACAAACAGTATCACTCTGCTGTGCACAGGCGTTCTAACCGTTATTGTAGAAAATGTTTGCGTTGACTAGCAACAGCCTTGTCTGAGTCTCAGTTTCCTGTTGGGCCTGCGGCCTCGTGCCTACGACCGAATCACACCAGTGCTGATATTCAGCAACAATGCACTCCCTCTCGTGTGATATTGCTTAATTATAACTTAAACCTCAAACTTTTACAAAAAATGGAAATTATACATTTGTAGTTTCATCCAGCAAAATGTCTCAAATTTGAAAACTTTGCCAGTAGTATATTAAATCAATGAAACATGTCTGTGGCTCAGTTTTAATTAGCCTCTAAAGCAGCAGTATTCAATTCCTGGCCTGGAGGGCTGGTGTCTAGCATGTTTTTGTTTTAACTCACAGATAATTAACAAGCATCTGCAGAGCCTGATGAGCTGCTGCACCGGCGAATCAAGTGTGTTGAATCAGAGAAACCACTAAAACGTGCTGGATACCGGGCCAGATTTGAATACTCCTGCTCTAAAGTGTGTCACTTTGTGAATATGAGCAAAACATGTTATTGAAAAGAGAAAATAAACAGGAATTGTCAATGCCAGAGAGCAGTGTTGCAACATCTGCACAAACCAGCTGAATGTATTTATAGAGGAAGAATGTGGCTGCCTGACACACACACGCAAAACGCTGCACGTCTCCTCTGGAAATGCGAACGTGCACGCTGTCATGTGTCCTGCTCTCCCAGCCTGAGTCAGGCCCCACCAGCACGCTTTGTGCTGACTAAGCTCTTGTTTTCTCCTCTCTGTTTGTTCTGCTCACAGCAATGAGTCACAATCAACAGGTTTCAGCATCCGCTTTTATTTTCATCAGGGAGTAAAAAAAAGGTGGAACATGTGAGCAAGATCTCTACATTTCCTCTTAGTCTGATCATGTGTGTGTGTAATAAAGACAAGGTTGTTGTACACTAAGATAAGATCTGAGACTCTAACTCCAACTGGCTGTAGTCCCACATGGTGGCTAGGAAAATCTCATCGTTTTTGGTATCTGGGAAGTGAAGTAACACCTCTCAAAGGGCTTTAAGGACTTCTTCTACAGTGAGAAAAAAGCTAAATCAAGTTTTCCTAATTGCTGTCTCACACATACGTGACAGGAAATGACAAATCAAAAGTTCAAGTGTCTAACTGAGGTTGCACAAAACTCCTGCATAGATAGAAAGTGCATTTGGAGTCAATGGAAGAGGTATTCTCCAGGTCTGGCTGCTTAAGACAAGAAGGAAGCATTAGTTATGGTATTTTTAAGTGCTACATGAGTCCACATTACTAGTTGTAACTATAAGGTCAAATAATATTTGTCAGCTTATGGCTTTCCAGTCAAGACTGTCGTTTACAGGCGATCCAAACCCACATCTTGCTTGGCCGTCAAAATGTGATAAATGGCTTTTCATAATAACTATACAATATTTACGTATTTAGGTATTTAATGAACTAAGACTCCACAGATGTGGTTTCATCAACCAGGCTCTGGTGAGGGTGTGTGTTTTGCTAAGCCATCCCCAGCCTCCAAACTCTTGAAGCTTTTGTACAGCTAGCTGTGTTTTGTGGTGATTTTGGAAACCTGGACAGTGAGAAGGGAAATGAATAAATCCTTAGACTTTTTGAAGAGGGTTGAAACAATCAAGTGGTCTAAACATCTTCTGGTGAACTTACTTTTAATGTGAAGAGGTGGTGATCTCAGAGAGCTTGCCACAACTTGGCGTTCGAGCCCTCTGCGCTCTTTGGTATGACTCGCTGTCTCCAAAATAGCGAGCCCTATATAGCATTCCTTCCTCTGTGGGAGATCACACAAACAAATCCAGTGACTGGCTAAAGTATCTGCATGTTTTGCAAAAGATTTACAAAACTTACTTTGCTGTTTCTCCTTCCAGCAGTTGTTGCGAAGATTGGAGATATAATCGTCCTCTACTGAGCGCTCCACATTTTTCAGATTCACACCTGTGAACTCTTTGGAGAAGCGCTCCCCAACATAATATGGCACCTTGAGGTTCTCAGTGAGCCTCTTCTGAGAGTAACCAGCTGACCTGTGACAAGACACAACAGAGTGTAAAACAGACAGATCAGACTTTAAATTCATTCAAGTTTAGTTTATCTTTGTTAACTTGTGGTGTTCCCCAAAGCTCAATAATTGGCCCTGTCCCATTTGATCTTTATGTGCTCTTTTGGGCAAACAAAAGAAAACAATATCACCTTCCATTAATATTTTAGTTTTGAACTGCTTTCATGGCCCTGCTGCGCCTCATATTAGTGACATGAGGTCCCATCATGCAGATCATCTTGACATAATTAAATTTTATTGGTGAAACATGAATCAGATGAAGAGCTAGGCAGCTTTAACTTAGATGGTATTTTATTGTTTTAGTTTGCTATTATTCCTGTTATTAAAACAAAAATATCCACATAAAGAGCAAACCGACGTATAGAGCAAACTGAGAGTGCTGTGATTATTTGGAAATAACTAGTGTGGCATCATATCTGTTCATTATTTTAACTGTTATTTGCTATGTTTGTGCAAAAATCAAGCCATGTGAAATAGATCTAGGCTTGCTGAGTTGCATGAATCCAGAAACTAATCTTTTGTCTAGGTGCACTTCAGTTAAGAAGAATGACTGTTCAGTGTTATTCATTCCTCTCCTCTCTTGCAGGTCACACTCACGGCCTGAAGCTGAGACTGTAGGAGGGGCTGTTGACCATTATCTGACTTAGAGCTGACACAATAACCAGGATGAGGATAGGCATGACCTGCACAAAAAGAGCAAGGCCTCCCTGCAAAACAGAAATACAAATGTGTTACCTAAAAAAACATCTAAAAGGTGTCCAATCTGCTAGTTTTGTTGTTTCCCTGCTCAAGCATGCCAGATTCAATGGTTGAATTACCTGTTCTGCAGCTCATCAAGCTCTGCAAAAGTCATTTAATCACTCACTGAATAAATAAGGTGTGTTGGAGCAGAAAAACCTCTAAAACATGCGGGATAGGGGACCTTGTTGACCAGGATTGGATACAAACTTTCAGCAGCAGGTAAAATTGTAAACAACTAAATGTTGCCTCCTGCTGGTGAAACTGGCAACTGCATCATCTGCAAAGAAGCTCTGGAGGGATAAACTCACATCCCTGGGTCGCTCTCTTCTCTCTCGCCTTTGGTTGTGCCTCCTCCCGTTAGAGTACATATGAGCATCACCTAAAATAGCACATGGCACATTTGGTTTTTAGCAAACCCATTCTAATAAGAAATGTTAAGAGCAAAGAAAAACAATGTAGTCAGTAAAACTAACTCGATGGATAACCTCCCCCGAAGAAGATATTGAAGAGGTCTTCAGGTGAAATGTCTGGTTCGAAGCTTCTGCTGTCTGGGCAACCATTTGATGGATGTTCTCCATCTTCTCCACACTGATCGTACTGGCGTCTCTTGTGAGTGTTACTCAGAACAGCATAGGCATTACTGATAGCTGTAAAACACCACCAACATCATCAAAATTAATGTTTTTAAGAAATAGCACTTAAAATAAAAAAAATAATATTTTTGCTCGTGGATGTTTAAAATTCAGACATAAAAGGCAACGTGCTTCAGCGAATACCAAGACTTATGCTGTCACGCTGTGAGTGGGAGGGAGGGGGGAGGTTAGGACCCAAGATGCAAAACCAGGGAGTCTCGAGGCAGGAATAAACGTAAAATCCTTTATTAGGTGCGACTGTCCAAAAGTAAATCCAAAGGGCAGGAAGCCAAAACCAAAAATCCAAAAATCCTAGTATGAAACAACCTGGAGACCTCGAGACAAAGAGCTCACTTAAAGAGCTGACCTGGAGACCTAGAGACAACGCTGACACAAACAATGGACCAACAAACACACTGTGACGCAGACAGGGTTATATACACAAGGGCTGGGTGATTAGGGAATTGTGCACAGGTGAGACCAATAAACAGACGAGGAGCAGAACGGAGCAGGGGAGGAAACCAGACCTAAAAAATGGGGAAGGAAGCAAAATGAACTAGAGAGAGAAAACAGACTAGATAAAACACTTAACAGAAGACTAATGATAAAAGGTGTCTAAGGAAAAACGTAAGGGAAACCTAGAGAGCCTGGAGGGGGTTGGGGACACACAGGGACACTGAAACCTGGGGGAACACCTAAGGGGGGAAAAAACCTAGAGTGGCCTGGGGAACACAAGAAGGCCCATGAGGAGGGATGCAGACAAGGAGACACATGAGGAACACAAGGAAACACATAAGGGAAACCTAGAGTGGGATGGAGAACACAAGGAGACACATGAGGGAGACGCAGGACGCAGACCATGATATATGCACTTTTTGTGATCACCTTTGAACGCTTCTGTTGCGCCTGGAGCATGATTCTTGTCAGGGTGGAACTTTAGAGCCAGTTTCCTGTAGGATCTCTTCAGATCCTCCTCTGAGGAATCTTTTTGGACTCCAAGAATTTGATAGAAGTCTCTGCATTGTTTTATTCTGGGTGCAGAACACATTATTAGCATCTATTAGCAAATAAAGACCAGATTATGTTAACAGTAGGTCCAGGTACCGTCTCACAGCTTCTAGCTGATCTGCAGTGTAGGGTTTGGAGTAATCTGGAGGCTTTCCCTCAGGTTTGGGATCATCACTGGTGTTCCACCGCTGCTGGGGCCTCGAGGCTCCACTGAAGTCGGCGGGGGCTCCTTGTCTAGGATTGGCTCCATTCTTTGCTAGTAAATCTAAAAGTGCTGATGGACACAGAGTTGTTCAAACATATTTAATGATCAGATTAAAAAAAATTAAATAAAAAACTCTACACCAAATTCAAAAGCCCTTAAATCCATAATGGAAAAAATATTCAATCAGCTTGAAACTGATTTAATAAAAAGAAATTTGCAAATTGAAAAAAAAAACTGAAATAATGCATTGCTGTGTTATACTTGTCTTTTAATGCCATGACCTTAAAAAATAATGGATTTTTTTTCAAAACTGGTTTTCTTTAATCTTGACCCCTAGTTATGGAATAAAGCAAAAACAATAATAATGATAATTTAAAACCACATTAGCAGAGTGTTTGAGCCCAAACGTGTATTTAACTTTAAAAATAAATCAAATAAAAGAAAAATTGATAAACGTGACTTTTCTGTGATCAGAAATGCTATTTTTATCTCCACTTTTCCCAAATATTCTTCCTTTAGTATGTTAAAATATTCAAAGATTGAATCTTCAAAAAATCTGAGATAGAAAACATACTTTAAACCTAAACATGCATCTAAAAACAGGAGCTAGAATTAATTTTGTAATGAAAAATTAAATAATTTTTATTGAACCAAACATCTAGGAAGCACGAATGCATAAAGTACACACACACACACACACACACACACACAATCAGCTATGAATTCAAAATACCTGTAAAGAGTTCCTGAACCTTTAGATGGTCACTCAGTCTAAGTTGGTTTACTGATATAAATGGACTTTATTCTAATTTCCCAGTTTCACCTGAAAAGCGATACATGCGTAACACATGTTTGACATTCTGACTCTTCTGGGTTATATTTGTGTCTGTTTAATTCCATTTTTTTAACCTTAACAAGGAAAGATAATGTGTAAAATATTCGCTAAAGAATGATGGAGCACTGCTCTTTAGGATTTCTTCTTTTTTCTTTTAATAGGACATCTAGTCTGTATTAGGCTGGTTTCGGTCATCTTTGAGCAATCAGTGAACATAATCAGTTCCAAAATAAAATATATTTAATATGTATAATTTTAATGCAACGCTTCTGTTAATTGTTTACAGATCCAGCTATAGCTGGTCTTGTACAGGCCCTCTCCGGGATGCAGGTGATGCTGCAGCTGCTGATGCTGCTGGATCCATCCTCCCTCCCTCCCCACCTACCTCTGGCTTTCTCTGTCGGGAACAGTCTCTGCGCCTTCTCCAAGAACTTTAACGCCTTTTCCAGCTTTAGGCTGTTTAAAGCATCCGTCGCGATGTCGATGCAGCGCTCCGCTTCGTCCTTGTTTACTTCCATCGCAGCAGCGGCAGCAGCGACATCAGCGGCAGCAGTTATGCTAAAAATACCGCCGCTTCCGGGTGAAACCACGTGGCCCTGCAGACAGCCTCAGTCAGTCAGGTGTGGTGATATTATTTTATATGGTGAGGGACTCTCATTTCTCATTCCTCCAGTAGATGGAGCCAAACTGTGGGTTTCAAATGTAGGTCATGGTGGAAATCTAGAAATGAACGCTGACCCGGTTTAAGATGAGACCTGATGGTTTATTAAACTATTTGAGTTTATTTTTGTCGTATCTGTGCATCTGAAATGTTTATATTTAAATAAACCTTTTCCAGTTCATTAAATAGTCAGGTTCTTAAACGACCCTCTACTGTAAATGGAACAAATGGATTGGAGTTTATAATTGATGTTATTTTTTACAGGTGAGCTGCGTGGCCTGAGAAAGGGTGAAGGTCCAATTCTGTTCCAAGGTACCAAATGAACTCATTGCCGCCCTTTCCAGCTATGAATATGTATAAATCCACCCGTAATTAAATAAACGACTGCAGCTAGTTCAGGCAACAAGTCTGGACAGAAAAACAGCAGCAGCTGCTCTCCGGAGGAAGTAAATATATACATCTGGCTCGCCACAGAAAGAATAAAAGGTGAACAGGAGATGAACAGACAGCCAATCAGAGCGCGAGTTTCAGGCGGCATCTGAGCTCTGATTGGTCAGACGCACATTGGGCTTCGTTCTCTCATTGATGCGTTCGCTGCAGATCTGACTATCGCTCTTTTTCTGGGTTACTGTCATTTTGGGTCAGCCGGACCGGCATCTTCCCTCTTCAGCACCTCTGATCTTATCCTCGGTGAGTTACTCAACATCTTTTGTTTGTTTGTTTTTATTTTTTTACTTGTTATGCAACGTTGCGTTTTCCAGCTGCAGTCAGCATCCTATTTTTCAGACATCAGCCCCAGCTAGCACCTTGCCAGACTTGGTAGCTGAAAAATGATTTACATATTCTCCGTGAGCGGCGTTGTTTATCCCCTGGTGGTCTAATACAAACAGTTTCGTTCTGCCGCCTGATCTGTTGCGTTCACAGCATCACTCATCCAAAATGACGGAGACGGAGACGCTTGAGAAAAGACAGCAGCACAAGTCCAGCAACGGGGATGTTGGTTCAGACACAGCCAGAGACGACGCGTTTGATCACACATACAAGGAGAAGGAGGGCCCCAAACCTCCCACAATCATCGTTTGGAGAAATGTCATTATGATGTCTCTGCTGCATCTAGGAGCTGTGTATGGCGTCTTCCTCATCCCTTCTGCCGCCCCTTTAACCTTGCTTTGGTGTGAGTATTTAGTAGAAAACACATAAACTACTGCACAGTGTCTGTCAGTCAGGAAAAAGAGGACTACCCCTTTACATCTATACAAACCCACGGCCATGTCTGAAGATATATTGCTGTTATAGTCACAGCCAATATCGCGAGATTCTGCGTGACTACTTAGCATTCTAAATTTCCATTGTCTAATTAGCCTGTCATCTGAATTTTTATGTTTGCTGATATTGATGAGCTGTGATACCGTATTTAATCAGCTTTACTCCTTAAGTTTATTAATTTGAGCGTACCTATAGAGACCGCTTACTGGGAATTTCATGAAAGCTCTTCAGAGGACTGAAATTAACAACAGGATTGACTCTAACAGTTACTGGCAACGTTTTAAACTCATTTGTAGCACATCTTGTGGTGTTTGGATTATGTATGAAATATGATTTAGATTAGAAAAAATGCACAGAAGAATTAATGAAGGCCACATTCCACTTCTACATCAACTAAATGGTTGATTTCTTTCTCTCCACAGCTGTACTCTGTTTTTTGATTAGTGCTTTAGGAATAACTGCAGGAGCTCATCGCCTGTGGAGCCACAGAACCTACAAGGCTTCACTACCTCTCAGGATCTTTCTTGCTTTTGCCAACTCCATGGCTTTTGAGGTAGGACCCCCCAATAGTCAAAGTCCTGGTCAAAGCATTTTCTATAATGGTGGAAGTAATGTGCTAAAATGACTGTCTCCAATTCAAACTACAGAATGACATTTTTGAATGGGCTCGAGACCACAGGGTTCACCACAAATACTCTGAGACAGACGCCGACCCCCACAACGCCAGGCGGGGATTCTTCTTCGCTCACATCGGCTGGCTTCTGGTGCGCAAACATCCTGATGTCATTGAAAAGGGGCGCAAGCTAGAGCTCACAGATCTTCTGTCTGACAAAGTCGTAATGTTCCAAAGGAGGTGGGTAGCGTGACTTACAGATTATTTCATTTTACTGCTATAAATGATTCGACTTGTTGCAGATATTCTGGTTCAACAAGAAAATGATTGAATAAAAAAAAATCTGTAGCTCAAAGAGCGTTTCCACTTCTGCTTCTCCCCACCCTCCCTCTCTCCAACAGGTATTACAAGCTTTCTGTGCTGCTTATGTGCTTTTTTATCCCAATGTTTGTGCCTTGGTACCTATGGCGGGAGTCCCTGTGGGTGGCGTACTTCGTCCCAGCACTGCTAAGGTACACTTTGGTGCTGAACGCCAGCTGGCTGGTCAACAGTGCGGCTCACATGTGGGGGAACAGGCCCTATGACAAGAACATCAACCCCCGGGAGAACAGATTTGTCACTTTCAGCGCTATAGGTATGAAAAATGCACAAATGTGAAAAATGCAGCAGCAGAATTTAAGCCACTCGTTTAAATATGGTTTCATATTACTGCCTGCTGCATGATATGGACGTGTTATACTGCTTTTAAACAGTCACTTTCTGTCTAACTTCACCTTCAGGCATAATTGAGTGTGAAGTATTGCTTGGTCAACCATGCACACAGTGGCTTTAATAATAAATGCAGTGTGGATTAAAATTTTAATACTTAAAGCAAGTGTGCAAAAATTGTCTAACTTCTGCATGTAAATTAATTATGATTTTGCAGAAATTAGAGAATGCACCTTTTTGAAGGATTTGATGAAGACCTTCAAAATAAGAGTAGCTTCATGATTTTAAACTCGCATTGTGTAACTAATGATCTCTAAAGCCCTTTATCTCCCTTTATGCATGCACCTATGTGTCTGGAAACAAGCGTTCGTTGTTGTAAAAGCAAGGTACCAAAGTTAGCCTGCAGGCAGACGTGTGTTTTGGGGCATTTTGTGCGTCGAACAGTTGAAAATGGTGATATGGACTTTGAAACGCAGTGGAGAAAAAAAAAGGATTCCTGCAGGGGCTTTTTAGTGGTGCAGATGCAGGTAAGTGAAAAGGAGAACAAGATCAGGTGACTCTACAGGTGTGATGTGGCCTTCACCTATCAGGCAGGTGGGGTGGCACAATGTGTAACTACATGAGAGGAAGTTCAGAAGACGAATTATATTATCTGGGTGAAGCAACTATTAAAGCTGTTATAGCAAATTTGGAAAACAAGTTAGCTTAAAATATTTTTTCATGGTGCTTAACAATGTTCTAACAAAGTATAGCTATCCACCTCATTCTTATGGCCCCTTGATGTAAAACTCTTCCGGTCCGCATTAGCTTACATTGAGACGATGCGATGCCTTCATGCATATCCTCAGTTTACGGGCTTTTAGAGACAGAAAACGTGTAAACCCAAGCTGTGACAGTTCAAAGGGGACACCGCTACACTCCATCTGCCTACTGCACCAGAAGGGTGGGAGGCTGATCTTGAAATCTGGCCAAAGCTAACATACAGTGGCATTTTTAGCTACTTAGCTAGGAGTCAATAAACAATGTTAAAAGCTCAGAGGCTTATTAGTACCTGCATAGTAACAAAGTTGGTCGTTTTTTGTTGAAAGAGGTGAGACTCCATTTTATTTACTTAAAAGCAGACGTAGAGCCCTCATCACCTAGCCTGGGTTTTACATTTAGTTTCTACATCCAACTGCAGGACGACACTTTTAGATTAACATTAGCAGTATAAACACACGTTACATTATAACTATTCAGAAAATCGTGTTGAGTTGTTCTTGTGAGACTGCTGTCAAATCGCTTTACTACTCAGCGTCTCTTCTCCGGAGCTTTGTCATGCATCAACAAAGTAGGATGCGGGTGTCTCTTTCTAGGATTTTCACAACAAAAGGAAACAAATGTACAAATAAAGTTTGTGGTGGTTTCTAAGTTAGGATTTTTCAGCTACATCCCTCTGGGTTCCTCATCTCCGAGGAGGCGGTGAAAAGCTACATCGGCGCTGGTGGTCTTACTCCGGGGTGCATGTTACAAACATCGCTCTTGTAGCCACAAATGTAATTTTCTCTGGTTGTTAGTACCACCGAAACAGTGCATCGTTTTACCAAGCCATGCAAATACATTTTTGGGGGTTAATAATTTTTTTAATCCTCTTCAAATGTTCAAATAAACCGCTGCTAGAAACAAAACCCCACCATGCACATGGATATGAGCTAGTTCTGATATCTCACCGGATGTTGCTACCATAATCGTTTCTGTATAAGAAAAGGGAAAAATAAGGGGAATGAATGAAAAAATAAAGAAAGTGGTTCTCTTGCATTTGTCTAAAAACCTCCGCCAATAACACGACTCAGACCAAAAGCAACCATTGGACCATCTGGTTGTCGGTCTCGCCGAACTGCCGCACGTCCCTGGGTCCTCCATTCGTAACGCAAACACATACTTGGCAACAAAACACAACTGGTGTGAAAGGTTTTTAGCTCAATTACATCAGAGAAAGAGAAACAGCCGGCCCTTAAAAAGACAATGTGTAGTTTTTACTGTTAATCTCTGAAAATATCCATCCGTCGATGAAAATTAATAAAATTACCTCCAATTGTATAAAAATATGGGCAGCTTTGTAACATATAACTATAAAAATCAGGTCTCATGTACATAGGGTGCAGGACTAGCATCTTTGGGAAACGCCAAATTAGATGCCGTATTTCCTTCTAGCTGGCTCGGGGGTCCTGTGCCTGTTGATGACGTCACACTAGGACTGGCTGGACGTACGACTTACGGAAGTTCCGTTACCACATTACACACACACACACACACACACACACACACACAAAAATATATATATATAATTTGGCCGAGCGGTATTGCTGCTGTATGATGACGTCATCAGCAGGCGCAGAATCCCCGAGCAGACCAGAAAACTACAATCAGCACTGCATTCTCTCGATGGCATTAACTGCAGGACCATCAAAGTCTGAGGAGTCACTCCAAGGTCACATGCTTTCTGCTCCGCAGGAAACATTTTCCATAATGTTTTCAAACTAGTGACAGTCATGACGATATGAGTAAAACTACCCTGAAAGGTCTCTACTGCCCCCTAGTGCCAGGAAACTACACACTACCACTTTAATAGCATACTGACAAGAATCATAAGGTCTGTCAAGATTGCATCTTTCAAGCACAGATAACTAAAAGTTCACCACAAAATGCAGTTTCTATTTCTTACCCAGGATTCCTTATTTACAGGTGAAGGATTCCACAACTATCACCACACGTTCCCCTACGACTATGCCACCAGCGAGTATGGCTGCAAGCTGAACCTCACCACTTGTTTCATCGACTTCATGTGCTTCCTGGGCCTGGCTTGGGACTGCAAGAGGGTGTCCCGCGAGGCGGTTCGGTCTCGGATACAGCGCACTGGAGACGGAAGCCACCGAAGTGGCTAAGAACTGTGGAAGTCACGGAGGCAGGAAAACAGACGGGAAGAATAACAGTCACCCGCTATAGCGATTCATTTCTCATCCCCTGAGGTATAGTCAGCTCGGTGAGGGTCTCTACTACATTTTGCTTGTTCTTTATGGTTCTTCTAGCTGTAGCTATACAAACTGATATAAAAAAACATGCTTTATAAAGATTTGTAATATTCATTAACGTCAAAGTCTTGATGAAATGTTTCAGATCAGATCAGATCTTTGCTGTTTTGCCACTTTGATGTGCTTTCTTCATAAAGAAACATGTAGCCAACATTTTTATATGTTACTCAAATATTCAGTCGAAAGCAAGAAGAAATATGGAGTAACGTCACTGAAACGATTTAGTAAATGAAAACCTGCCTTTTTAACATGCTGGTGATTTTAATATGAACATTACCTTTATGGGCACCTGTAACTTGGTTTATTTGTGACTGAAAACCTGCTAGCTTAAATAATGAAGTATAGCAAAGAACAGGAAAGTGAGGGAGCCCGTGTTTTATTCTTATAATCTGACTGCAGTGTCACAAAAACTGTGTGGAAACGGAGTTTTGCAGTGTGCTTCAATGTGAGACATGGTTGCCTTCTGCAGCAAAACCAAATATTTAGAAAGCACTAAGAAAAGATTAGCATGTGCTAAATTTAGTCTGTGCAATTATCAAATGGAGTTTTTATTAGAATAATGCAAGCCCCACCTTTACCTTAGATTAAAACTGCAATTTAATCTAAACTGTAACTTGCAATTTTTTAATTTGCTTAATTTTTGTGTAGTTATTATAGAATAGTGCCAACAATATTCCAGTCAGCGACATATTCACATCATTCCAAGTTTATATTCCCTTTTTTCATTTAAGATAGCCTAATTGGGATATATCTTTTTCTGGCTCATTCCCAGATGTTGTCCTCAAACATCAGCGGCCGGGTTCTCATTGATCCCTGCGGTGGCCAGTCATGTGACTAATCTGGGTATTACAAAACAAAATGCATGGCGATATACTGTAGTAGGTGTTGTGGTGAGGTGATGTGTCGGTGACTGTCAAGGCTGAACCGCGTCTATTTTTCTTCTGTCACTTTTGGATCATCAGACTTGTTGCTATGGTGATTTCAGAGATGGGTCTGGTTTCTCTTTGATGTGCTGCAAAAGTGACTGTCAGTTTTGAATTATAAGTGCATCAATGTTTTGTGTTTCTTTGGAAGTTCTAGTATATGGAATACTTTTGTTTGACCCCCCCTCTTTTTTTAAACAATTTTAAGGATTTGCACTCTGATATTCGACAGTTCTGTATATTATACGCCAAATATATCCAAATGCAGCACTTGTTTATTTCAATCGAGCAGTCATATCCTGCATTCATTTTCCACATCCATGCAGCTACAGCAGAAATGTGTCAGAAGACATCTGATTTCTGAGTTCTTACAAACTGAAAGACCGGTTGAAAGAATATTCTTATTAACATAACAATATAACCAGACTGTAAAATGAAAAGTCATGTTTAATGGTCTAAAATACCATTTTAACAACGAGTACTGATGTCTATTTGTGAGCTTTAACTTGCACAAAATGATTGAGGGAAGGTCAGTGCCAACTCAACAAGATCACAACAAATGAAAACAAGTTCTGAGATGAAAATTAGACATTTCCTTCTGCGGACAGATGAACAGGTTTTCATTTTCAACATGTCAGATCTCAACTGTGTGCTATTCTGTAATAAAATTCACAATATTTTCAATACTCTCACTATCTCTTCACCAGTTCTTGCTTTTGTGTGTTTTACATGATTTTCTTTATCAACTTTTCCGTGAGCAGTTTTGACATAAATTCACCTGCATATTAACCTTGGAGTTTTTTTAATGTGTGAAGTTTGCACTGAGCTGCAAGTAAGCCACTATCAAACACAGACTATGATTATTCTAGTTATTTAGAGGTTTAATGTGAAAGATGCTTGCTGATATTCTGGTTACATTGGCTTTGGTGTTTGGTGAAAAACATTCTTTTCTCAGTTTAACTTTTGCACTGCTCCTGCAACACAATCAGCTACATTTATTTGTCAGTTCCAACAGCAGCGTCCAAGAACATTCGACAAGAAGCTGTTGTGAAGTGAGACGAATGAGAAAGGCATTTTAATAAGGTTTCTTGTCCAAAGCACAAATACTTTTGTAGTTTCCATCTTTTATCAGTGCTTAGTAATTTGGAAAGCTTTCATTATGTTTCTAAAATGTGCTTGTATTTAGTCAAATCCATTATTTCCTGCACTGTTTCCACCAGCAACACAAGCCCACATAATGATTAATCCACCTCTGTGTTCAGTAACAATTTGATTCGTGAAATACCTCCTCCTCTAACACAAATTTAGCTACTTGCAGCTTAAACTTTTAATCTCAATCAGAAGGTTTATCTTCCCAGTAAAGCCCAGGTTGTTCTGATAAGTCATAGGCCTGAACAGATCCCGCCATTTTGATTTAACTGTATTTAAAAATTAAGAAGCCATCTGCTGACACAGAAAATGGGGTTTACGCCTCCAAAACAATTAATTCCAAAATGCTGTTAGGACAAAAAAGTGTTTTTATTGGAACATTATTTGATGTAGCCTATAGACTATGTATCCCCTTAGCATTTCAAGCTAATGGAAATCCAATTTTATTCAAAGAGTTATTGAATTATGAGGGTGCTTATACAATTCATCATTTGGCTCTTACAACAAAGCATTTTAGGCTGGTAAAAGTTAAGGTCATGGATGAGGTCCTGCCCCAAGTTGAGGAGTTTAAGTATCTTAAGGTCTTGTTCATGACTCATGAGTGAGGGAATGATGGAGCTGGAGATCAACAGGCGGATGTGTGCTGTATCTGCAGTGTTACGGGCATTGTACCAGCAGGCTGTCGTGGTGAAGAGAGAGCTGAGCCAGAAAGCAAGCTCCCAATTTACTGGTCGATCTACGTTCCTACCCCCATCTATGGTCATGAGCTTTGGATAGTGACTGAAAGAATGAGAATGCAGATACAAGGGACCGAAGTGAGTTTTCTCCACAGGGTGTCTGGGCTCTCCCTTAGAGATAGGGTGAGAAGCTCTGTCATCTGGGAGGGGCTCTGAGTAGATCTGCTACTCCTCCACTTCGAGAGGGGCCAGTTGAGGTGGCTCGGGCATCTGATTAGGATGCCTCCTGGACTCCTCCTGGTGAGGTGTTCCAGGCACGTCTAACCGGGAAGAGACCTAAAGGAAGACCTTTCTCTCTGCTGGCCAGGGAACACCTTGGGATTCCCCCGGAGGGACTGGCCCAGGTGGCTGGGGAGAGGGAAGCCTGGGGTCTCCCTGCTTAGGCTGCTGCCCCTGCGACCCGACCCCGGATAAGTGGCTGAAAATGGATGGAAAAGTTAGAGAGAATATTAGCACAGTTTCCTGTTGTGTCTTGTTTGTTTTTGTACAGTTTTACAGCCTAAAAATTGCAATAAAGTTATGCAGAATCAATATTGGAAAACTGAGTTGCCTTGGTAATTTAGATTCCTTGCTAAGCTTAGAGCTCTCAGTCCTCAGCTGCAGTAGCTCACACCTGCTGGCTTCACACAGACAGGGCAGAGAGGAATGTGAGACTACAGTGTGCTGATCTGATCCCAGCTCATTTCAGACCACCAGGTTCAGTGTGTGAACAAAATACAGAATTTTTATTATGAAAAGACGGTTCTTATTTATAATCAGTTGAAATGTTGAGTGTTGAACCAACAAATCCAAACACATATTTAAAATTTGATGGGTGCATTATCTTATTGTAATTTAAAGATCCCGTAAGTGCACGCTAGTATTGGGTATTTTATAAAACCAGAAACATAAGCCGACGTTATAGAACATTTTTAATTTAAAATGGTTGGTGTGCATGTGTGTGTGTGCATGTGTGTGTGTTAAAGTGGGTTTATGGGTAAACAGTACACCCACTAGTGCTTTCACAGGACCACGCCTCCTCTGTGTGCACACCCCGGTGCCAAGTCAGCACATTTTTGCCTCATGATGAACCGAGTTAACTCGGATCCCGTTCAGGAACGAGTCCGTTCCCGGCTGTGGTGTGATGTGTGGTGATGTAGCATAATTATCGCGCAGAGGTCACTGCAGTTCAAACCGTCCCTGAAAATTTCACGCCACGCGCAGCTCGCGGCGTGCGACTAGAAGCGGCCAATCAGCAGCGGGGTCCTGACTTCTGATCCGTCTGGGCCAATCAGAGACAAGCGCGTGAAGCAAACGCTCCAATTTAACAGTCTTTACTAACATTTCACAGCCGCAGGGTTAAAGTGATGACATAAGCCCACATCCAGAGGAAGAGGGGGAAGTCGCTGTTTGTTTTTGTCACTCTGGTGCGTTCAAGTACAGCAGCTGAATGTGGGAAAGGGATGAAGAAGCCTTAACGGTCTAAAATGGGAAGAATACCCTCAGCCTCAATCAAAAAGTAATTTGATTACAATCAAAATTTACAGTCACCGTTAACCTTAAATAAAAGGCATGTTAAATATGGAAAAGTAGCTTTTTTAATGAATCATCTAACTTAAGCCAAACTTTACACCCCCAGGAATCAATATTTATTATTAAATCCATTTTAAGACAAAAATTGGTTAAACAATAGATTGTTATTGTATCAGTTTTATTAATGTTACAAGCGCTGTTGCCTTGTAGAAAGAAGGTCCGGGGTTCAAATCCCAACCTGGGGTCTTTCTGCATGGAGTTTGCATGTGCATGTGAGGGTTCTCTCCGGCTTCCTCCCACAGTCCATGTTTCTCCAACATTGTTCCTAAGGTGTGTGTGTTCTTGTTTGTCCTGTGTTTTTCTGTGTTCCTGTGATGGGCTGGCAATATGTTCATGAACGAATCGAATCTTTTGAACGGATTTTCAAAGTGAACGGTGAGAGCCGTTTGTCTTGTCTTCCAGTTACAGGTGGTTGGATAATGTAACCACTTTTTGATTTAAAATGAAATAAATTTGGCCCAAAACAAGTTCAAGCACTTTTAAGGCGACTTTTCAGGATTTTCAAGCACCCTACAGAGATGATTTGCACTCTGTGGAACTTGTTGCTAAACGATAATCAGTTTAAATTGAACAGATAGGAAGGTATTCTTCCAAGGAGGTAACACAATGACTAGAAACAATTTAAAATTTACAAACTTCAAATATTTTAAGATAAAACTTTATTTGAAAAAGAAACTCAAATAAGTAGCAACATGGATTTTAGAAATATCTTTGCAACCAGAACAGGCACACCGAGGCACCCTCCTGCCTTCTGCTGCCACAACCAGCTACAAAAATCCGGTTTTCCTGCTGGTCGGATCCTTAAAGTTCTGAGTCATCTATTCCAAAACTAGTCTAGTTTTTAAAAGTTCCCAAAGGATACAACACTGCCTGCATGAAAAGAAGAGCAAAGGAAGTGGCGTATAAAAGGGAGCAGGAATAATTTAACAGTCCAGATTAAATGAACATACGTGTTATGTGAGACACGCAGACTAAAGCACATCTCAAAAGGGGAAACTACTGTTACAAGGCTAAGGTACAACATAATTATATGGGTATATTTAAGAACTTGTCACAATTACAATCCTCTACAATATTTTGTCCCAAAACTCCCAACATCTCATCAGATGACCATGCTCTATACCAGAAGCACACCCAGACACTCATTTACAGTGTTGTTTATCTCGATGCTTTAGTGAAACCTTGCAGAATAAATACACACACGTTGTTTGTAGAGTAAAAAAAATGACAGAGCTGATCGTAACCCAATTTTTATTATTGTTTTTACAAATGTGAGCTCTGGACGTAATAGTTCAGCATCTGGAGTTCCGCATGTATGTAATGAAAACGTTTGTACAGCTGTCAGTGAGAAGGGAGTAAGACGTAACATGGTTTATGAACCACCACCACAGCCATAGATTCAAACCACACTTGCTTTGTCTCCAATTACTTTTTGTTAAATTTACACCAAATCATAACTTTCAAAATACATTCTTTTTTTTTATATTTAGTAAAATTATCACAGCAACATCGATGGACCTCCACAAACACAAAAATAACACCACCCCACTGTCTCAATCAGTCTCAGAAAAGGAGCATTTATGGTCGGATGAGAACCACATTCTGAAGTTTATCAGTAATTATTCTCATCATCAGGTCATAAAGAAATAAATACACGCAGAAGAATATGATAACACTGAAGATGGGTGTGTGCTGTCCTCGAGGTGTTAGACACCCAGCTTGTTGGCGATAGTGATGACTACTTTCAGGATAGGCATGAAGGCAGAGATCTCGCTGAAGTTGCTGCTGCTGACCACCTGAGTGTGGACCTCCAGGCCCCGCTGGTAGTTCTGACTGGCCACACAGCGGCTGATCTCGTGAAGGCCATCCAGGATGTGATGAGAAAGCTGAAAATTAAACACAATCGGTTATATTTTGACATCTTCACAGAACTTCTGAATGCTTTTAGGCACTAGCTGCACCTTGCGGTCCAATAATGGTTCAATTCAAATAGTTCAAGAACTCCTTACCGACTGCTCTCTCAGTTTGTCATACAGATGACCCAAACGCTTTCCAGCATCATCGAGCTTCCTTTTTGTTTGCTAAAAAACACACAATTTGTTTTCTAATAACTTTTAGCAACAACAACCATAAAGACAGGATGCTCTGTGTCCGAAGCCTACCGGATCTCCTGCTGCGAGCTGGCAGCGCTGCACCAGGCTATCAAAGGTGGTTTTGAGGATCATGTGCTCAGCTGGGATTTCTCTCTGCTCCACTCTCTCTGCTGGTAGCTGCTGGAGGAGCTGGTAAACACAAGTACACAAATACAGTATCACACCATTCCCACGGTATGCTTTACTGTTGAAATCTAAGATAGCAGCCCGTTGTTGGAGACAAACCTGTACGCTGGGCTCCTGGGGGGCTCCGGGCGGGACCTGGGTGTGGCTGGGGGGCTGTGGAGCCTCCGCTGGAAAACCCATGACAGGAGCTGTGATGGGGGCAGGTGGAGTGTAGTTGTCAGGCATCTGTTTACACAAGAAAGATGTTTGTTAGGTCAGATCAACAGAGATAAACAGTTAACGTCACTAAAGGCTTTGCATCTTTTGAAAATTAGGCCAATTAGTGCAGAACCATAACTATGTGTAAATAATTAAGTTTATTTTAATCAGTTGATAAAGACTTTAGTGAAAGTATATCAAATATGAGTTTGACTAGTTAAAAAACAAGCAGGTTTTAAGGACAAGGTTCACTCGTTTCCTCACCACATGCAAAGTTGTCTCGATTATAAATTAATGCTCAGTGAGTCGATCTATGTGGGGAAAAAGCCCTGGCGCTCCCATTTCGGAAAGTAGAAATTAGCCAGAAGAAAGTTGAGCTGAACATGACAGGATTTGGAGACTTATTTCCTGATATTTGGACATCTCTCCTCTGATTGGCCAACAGCGACACAACTCTTATCACTGACTCGGTTTGCTCTGCAACATCGATGTTGTATCTCCACAAATAAAACAAGCCTGAAGAAGTTCTGTGTTGTGGAGTTGCAAATGCTAACAGTTAGCTTCTGCTAGCCAAGACGTCCTCTGCGGTTTCCTGGACGCTAAACCAACAACCGCTTTCCCTGTCGTGAGCCAAGATGGGTGAGTCCATGAATGTTAATTTTTCAGTGTGACGTGCAATTGTCAGGATTTTTCAAATCTGCCCGTTTCCCTGACTATTTTCTATCAGAAGCTAATGCAGGAGATGGGTGTAGAAGACTATTTTGTTCAGCCTGCACGTTAAACTCAGAGTGACTGATCAAATTTCAAACAAGTAAAAAACAGTTTCTCAGGCAACTTGGTCTTCTATTTATAGAATTCTATTCAAAATAAATAAATAAATAGAAATTTGAAAAAAAAAAATGAAAATTTTGATTACAAATGTAAGGAAAGGGAGAGATTAAATGAATAAGAAAGAGGGAAATCAGTGGATCCCGGGAAAGGCGGAGTTGGTAGAAAGAGCAGAATAAGGAGGGTGGTGATGAAGGTCACTCATAAACCAGCTTGAACAGGTGAGATTTCAGCTGCTTTTTAAAGGAGACCACTGAGTCCACTGATCTCAGGCTCAGGGGGAGAGAGTTCCAGAGTCTGGGGGCCACAGCAGCAAATGATCTGTCACCTTTGGTCTTTAGCCTGGTGCGCTGCACAACCAGTAGGCTTTGGTCACTGGACCTCAGGGACCTGCTGGGGGTGTAGGGACTGAGAAGATCACCAATGTATGATGGTGCTTGTCCATGTAAGGCCCTATAGACCAGAACCAGGATCTTGAAATGAACCCTGAAGTTGACTGGCAGCCAATGAAGCTGTATGGATAAAGAAACTGTTGCAACAGACTTTAAAACTAAATAAATTCCTCTTGATTGCTGCAGAAACTGTTTAAGCAACCATCCATCCATTTTCTTCCTCTTTTCAGGGGTTGGGTCTAGGGCTGTCGCGGTAACCGCAAAAATGAAATATCGCAATATGAAGAAACCCACCACGCTGCATCATGGGCCACCGCGATTACTGAACTTGGTTCAACTCAATGATGCTTGTTGAGAAGGATGGCTGCACTGGTATCAAAACGAAACGTTACTTTGCTCCTTTAGGAGCACTTTGGTTTTCAGTACGTCAGCTGCTGCGCAGCCAGTCCTTGGCCGAGACAGAGCTGCCACCAGCGGCAAATAAATAATAATAAACGCTCGGAGACCTGCTGAAGTCCCGGACAAGCACTGCTTTTGCAACCGTCCCGAAGAGAATTTGAGCCGAGCTGGAGCTCACTCGCTACCTGCAGGAGGAATGTATCCACCCTAAAGAAACCCCCTGACATGGTGGAGCAACAACCGGGAGAGATTCCCTTTGCTCGCCAGAGTCGCACGCAAGTAAGTGTGCGTTTTAGTGCAACGAGCGCACCATCCGAGAGGGTTTTCAGTGTTGCTGGAAATGTTGCCACCCCTCTCAGATCCTCTGTCAAACCGTATATAGTTATCATGCTGGTTTTCCTTGTAGGTGACAAGGACGTGACCGAGCTATAAATCACCGTCATTCGTGTGTGTGAAAGTGAAATGATAGTGTGCCCCCCACCCCCCCACCCCCCCACTACATGTAATTTTTTATGCTTGATTTTAAACAACTAAACAAAATGGGGACTTGTTTCTTATTTGTTAGATGCTGCAGCCAAATTTGCATTTAAACGTTTAACCTTCTCCTGAATTTTGTTGTTTTTAAGTTCAGTCGGACTCTGACTGTCAGAGAAACAAACGTTACTGCGATCTGTGTTGTTACTGCCCTTTGATCTGCATTCAGTAAAGTGTTATAAAAGAAGACATGGCAATTTTTAACCTTTTTTAAATGTATAAACATTATGTTTAGATAGTACTGCAATAAAAAAAGGGCTGCAATAATATCGCACACCGCAATATTAAGCCACCCTGAATCACCGCAGGAGGAATTCCTCAACCGCGACAGCCCTAGTCGGGTCCTGGGGCAGCAGCCTAAGCCGAGGCCCAGATTTCCCTCTCCCAAACCACTTGAGTCAACTCCTCCAGGAGAATCCCAAGGCGTTCCCTGCAGCTGAGAGACATAACCCCTCCAGCGTGTCCTGGGTCTTTAGGTTTTTTCCACTAAGGGCAGGACCTCATCCCTGACCAGGAGAAGGCATTCTACCCTTTTCAGACTCAAGACCACGGTCTCCGATTTAGAGGGGCTGATTCTCATCTCAGCTGCTTCACACTCATCTGAAATTACTTTTAATAGCAATAATTTTAAGTCAATGTCTTTTTCAGTGTAAATAAATCAGCTAATGTGGCTTTACTTCTTTGATGTTTGGTAAATGTTAATCCAGTTTTCACCAAAGTATCTTAAATGATCCAGACTGGAATTTTGACTGGATCACATCAGCATATTATTTTTTTTAAAGAAATTTGCTGTAAATGTTTGTGCTTTTGTGTCTCGTTTCACGATCTGAAAAGATTCCACACAAAATTCCCACACATTTGTGTTTAACTCAGTTACAAACCATCACACCTCCACCACCATGTTTGATTGTTAGTGCTGCTATGCTGCTTGTTCCTGCCAAACAGCCCCACTCTGATCTTTACCAGATATTCCCCCAAACATACTTCAATATTAGCTCAGCTGTTACATTAACTCATTCACTGCCAATGACGACTAAAGTCGTCATTTGCATTTTTTACTGTGTGGGCAGTAAAAATGGTGAGAAACGCTGGCAGCGAAGGGCTTTACCGATCAGAAAGCGGCTGGCAGCGAATAAGTTAATAAAAACTCACTGTAACAAAAGTGGTTTTTTCACCACTTATCATAAGGAAATCATGTTTTCCTTTAAATAATAGAATTATATAACTTACTTAGATTTCGTTAACTAAATAAATGACTAAATAAAACACATTGCAACAAAACTGAAAGATGGTGGTGACTGATAAAAAAACAGATACCTTCTTTTTCCTGGGTCCACCCCTTACTGTTGGTGGGTCATTCCAACCCTCTTGAAGTCCTAAATGAAAACAAGAATTAAAACTCGAATGAAACGAATGGGTTTTGACTACTTAAACAGCCTAAAAACTCAAAAATAAAGCCGTTTTCACACATGCAACGAAATCAGCTGTAAAGCTGTACAAGCCAACCCAAATGTCAGGGCATGTCTGGTGGGAATGTACTAATAGATTTGATCATTTTCAGTCTTATTATTATTATTAACTAGTTCCAATATCAACTCAGCAAAGAGTTGCCTTGCCCGCCATCTTTAATATTTAGAATTTTACTCATTTCATATCATGTGCACAAGGAAAAGTTTAAATAATGTTAACTTTTGGTCTTCATGTGTGACAACAGCTGAAATAAGTCCATTTGAACCAACGTTAGTCTCCATTGCAACAATGAGTCCAAACATGCTAGCTAAATAAATACATCATTTAAACTTTGCAAAGCAAGAATTTGGTCTAGTTCACTAGGCTAAAACATGCCATAAAACTGCTTAAAACTAGCAGTTCAAGCAAAAACAGGTAAGCAAATAGACAATATAATACTCAAGCAGCGTTCAATTAACCTCTAATAGTAACAAGATCCCAAACATGGATCCATAAACGACATATTCGTGTGATGAAATGCCAACACAGCTGTAACATGTTCTACTTCAGCTCTATTTTTACAGTAACGCAGCATCAATGAGGGTCTGACTAAATAATCCTAAGGAAAAAAAATGTATTTATAGTTTTTAAAAGATGCATTTAAAATAAAGCAACTCTGAAATCTAAACGTTTCCCTGCATGGCACGGGGCAGCGCAAGCAACAACCAGGAAACCAGAAAAACAAAAAGGCCGGCCAATTAGAAAAAAATTACTCAAACCAAAAAAAAAAAAAAAAGATCTCGTGGTATTCAAGGTTCTGTTTTTCTGGCCACACTGTTGGTACTGATGCTCTCTATTCCACACCGAGCCCTGACCCTGTCACCTGGATAGTCACACTGGGAATTCAGCCAAGGAAAGTATCCTGCAAGTTAAAGGGGACGTTAAACACATTCCTGCTGGCATCAGTGGTGGATAACTCTCTAAACTTTCATCTACTTGTGACCATTGTTAAAACTGTTACAAATAACCAGATTGGAGTAATTGAACTTGTAACAGGATGCAACACGTACCTGAAGGAGGAGGAGCAACACCAGAGGATGGGAAGGGATTTACAGCAGGGGCTCCGGGACCTCCGAGGGGGTACCCTGATCCAAAAGGAACAAAGGGGCCGGACGCCACTGGAGGAGCACACCCCTGGTTTGGAAAACCTCCTTGGTACATTGAAACTGGAGCCCCTGGTTGGGAGCTGGGTGGCATGATGCCTGAAGGTAAAGAGGTAGATGGCAGAAAGCCTGTTGGTGGCACCCCGGGACTGGGCATGGGGGGCATGCCTCCAGGGTTTGATAATGAAGGTGGCAGTTGAGGTCCTGATAAATTGGCAGCTGGTACTGAAGGCCCAGTGGGTGAGAAGGGCCCGGCTGCAGATACAGGCTGAGGCTGGAACGGCTGATGACAAGAAAAACCTGAAAAACACACAAGAATTATTTAACTAAACCAGATTTAAAAAGAAGATGTTTACTTTTAAAGCAAAGGGTCAAACCTGGAGCCACAGAGGGGTGTTGTGGGTAGGAAGGTCTTACGGCAGGACGGGTTGAACTGGGCGGCATCACATGAGAGGACGGGGGCAGACCGGGCCCTGGGTTGGGTGGAGAGGGCTGAGGAGGAAAAGCTGATGGTAAACGAGGCTGCTGTGGTGGAGCCACCGGAGCTGGAGCAGAGGGCTGGCACTGAGTCTAAAGTCAGAAAGAACATAATGCAATGAAATCACAGCGGCTAAGAAATCTTAATGAAATGTTTAGGTTTAAAGGATTTATTGAAATTTGTGAATAATTAGAACCAATAAATGATTAATTGTGCGTTTGGTGCAGCAGTCTGAGCAGCAGGAATGGGCTTAATTCAATTCAAAAATACTTTATTAAAAGTACTTTATTAGCCGCTGGCATGGCAATTCTGTTGGAGTTTGGAGGCTGCTGCTGGACAGCGGCCTCAGCCTGAGCATGGAGCAGCCTGTCTTTCAGCATCGTGATCTCCGGCTGAGGAGAAAAGACAGTAAAAAACACACTATTGTAACTTAATGAGGCAGGAAAAGAGAGAGGATGGTTTAAAATGAGGTTTCTGACTTGGTATGAGTTGTCAGGCAGGTAGGCCATGGCAGTGGATAAGCTGCCCTCTGCAGCCAGGATGCTAGCATAGCAGGTTAGCTTCTCAGCCAGGACGGGGCTCTGGACGGCTACCTCGCTGTTGCGAAGGCGCTCGATTGACTTTCGCAGCAACATTACTTTTTCAACCAGATCCTGAAACAAACACAAATGCCACTAGTGCACCACTTCCAAACATTTAGTGAAACTGCTACTGAAGAGATATCCTATTATGTATAGGATTCTATTATTTTTGTAGATTTCGTACCTCTAGCCCCAGAGGGGAGGAGCAGTCTCTGTGCAAGGCCCAACACTCCACCAACTTTTCAACGTTTCCAGAGCAGATGTAGCACAAACAGGCCTGCAGGCAGCGCTTTTCTGTACTCTCATGTTCTAACCGTCTTCCAAGAGTGTCTGTCAATGCAAATGAAACGTTACTCACTGATAAGTCTGGATACAAACTGGGATTAAAATAAGCAGCAGCACAGGTGGAGATTACACATTAATGATCCTACTTGTAGCGCAGCAGTAGAGTTCATGTCTATTACAGTCTTTTACCTTAGAACAGCACGTTTCAGACCCCACACACAAAATGGGCCACACTCTAGATCTTGTTTTCTCTTTGGGACTAAAAATCAGTCATTTACATGTTGAAGAAGTTTTTGTGAGTGACCACAGCTGCATTTTATTAAATGCCCAATCTAATGTTGAATCTGTCCCTCACAACCTAAAATCAAAGAGACATATCATTAATCAGTCAGCAGTGGATGGCTTTTCTAGATTATTTGACAGCAGTTTAGTTCAGGATGATGATCCAAGCTCGTTTATCCAGTCATTGGATAAACAATGCTGCAGTGTCTTAGATAACGTGGCACCTGTTAAGCAGGTCACTTTTTCTAGCAAGAGAATATAAAAAGATTTCATTCAAATTCAAAGATACTTTATTAATCCCAGAGGGAAATTAGAGTCACAGAGTTACAGTCTCAGAAGGACATGGCGCAGAGCTGAGGCTTTGGAAGTCAACTAGATTAGAAAGTCACAGGCTGCACTTTAAAGAACTGATAATATCTCTGAATGAGATGGTGAAAAATTCCAGGGCACCTTACTTTGCTCAGCTGATTGCTGTAAACAAAAATAACTCCATCCTGTTTGACACCATAAATCACATTGTTTCACCTCAGGCCCCTCTTATGCCAGTTTACTTGAGGTCTGACTGGAACAACTTTCTAGCATTCTTTGAGCATAAAATCAGAAATATCAGCAAGTTTTTCACCCCATCTACTTCCTAACCCCCCCTCCCCCCCCACACATCCAACCACCTTCCTCCCAATCATGGTTTGCCTTTACTCCTGTAGATTTCCAGAACATTTGCCTCATTCAGAAACACATGAAACCAACCTAATGTTCCCTTGACACTGTCCCTATGACCTTGCTAATCAGGATGTTTGACCAAATTGGCCCATCCATTGTAGATTTGATTAATTTATCCCTACAATCTGGCTCTGTACCATCTGTTTTCAAACATGCAGTTGTTGAGACTATCCTTAAAAAACCAAGTTTGAACTCATCTCAGCCTAAAAATTACAGACAAATTTCTAAATGACCCTTTATCTCTAAAATATTGGAAAAGATTGTGGCAGATCAACTGATTACTTTTCTGGAACTGCACAACAGTTTTGATAAATTCCTGTCTGGTTTTCGTAAAAAGCATTCAACAGAAACAGCTTTGCTTAAAGTTTCCAGTGACATCATGATGGCTGCAGACAACGGGGAGTTCACATTGTTAGTATTGTTAGATCTATCTGCAGCTTTTGACTCTGTTGATCACAGCACTTTAATTAACAGACTTGGTGACTCGGTGGGGATCTCTGGAACTGTTCTAGATTGGTTTAGATGGTACCTTTCTAACAGAAGTTACAGTGTCTGTATAAACCAAACCATGTCAGATTCTACTGATCTGTTCTGTGGGGTACCCCAAGGCTCTGTTTTGGGTCCACTGTTGTTTCTACTGTACATACACCCTCTTGGACAGATACTTGGTTCTTTTCATAATGTCTCTTATCACCTATATGCAGATGATATTCAGCTGTACTGCTCCTTTAAGGATTCTGAGTTCTACAAACTGAATTACTAGAGTGTCCATCAGCTATCACCAGCCGGCTAGAAGATAACTTCCTTCAGTTAAACTCTGAAAAGACTGAATGTCTGATCATTGTCCCTGAAAGCATGGTTTCCCTGATTAGTCTAAAACTTGGTCATTTATCCTGTGCCATAAAGACAAACTTAAGGAATGTGGGTGTTATCTTTGACCAATCAATGTCTCTTGAAGGCCACTTAAAAACTTTGGTCCAGAACGGTTTTTATCACTTAAGAAATATCTCCAAACTGCGAAGGTTGGTGTCAAAAAATCAACTTGAAATGGTCATCCATGCCTCTATCTCCTCCCGTCTAGATTACTGTAACACGCTCTTAACATGTTTTACCAGAAAAGCCCTTGACCGCCTTTCTGTTGGTCCAGAACTCTGTAGCGAGGCTCCTAACTGGAGCAAACAGAAGAGCACACATCACTCCTATTCTAATGTCTCTGCACTGGTTACCCGTTAACTTTAGAGTTCATTTTAGAATCCTGATTATAACTTTCAGGGCTCTACATGGTCAAGCTCCTCCCTATATTACTGAACTGTTAAAGCCTTATGCTCCAACCCGAGCCCTCAGGTCCACACACCAGAACCTTCTAGAAGTTCCAAAGACCAGCTATAAAAGTCAAGGTGATCGCTCCTTCCAGACTTTTGCACCCCGACTCTGGAATGATCTTCCTTTATCCTTACGCAGCACTGACAGTCTGGACACTTAAAAAACAGCTAAAGACCATTTTATTTAAAGCTGCTTTTAACTAAATCTTTTGTTTTCTTATTTGTAACTCAAATTTGTAATCATTTTTCATCTGTTAATGAAAATGATAATTTTATGACTTTATTTTTTCTGATGTAAATCTATTTCTGTGTTGAGATCATTATGATTTTATGACTTTGTTTAATTTTGTTTTGACCTATGTGGCGCACTTTGTGATTCTGTCTGTGATAAGTGCTATATAAACACAATTTACTTACTTTTGTATTACTCTCCAGAAGCAAGATAAGTCAAAGCACAATCTACATGCTGCCAAAGTTAAGCTCACCACATAAACCAGCAAAGTCTTCAGGATGAGCGTAGGTCAGCAGAGCGGCAAGAGCTTCCTTCCAGTTGTCCAACTCACAACTTTCAACGATGTCCCTCCAGTTTTGAGTCACCACCGATGAAATGAGCTGCAGTTGGGGTAAACCAATAATAGCCGTTAGGTCCTTGTGGATAAACTCACCCGTGGTCGATGATGTTTTGCTCACCATGGAGATGCTGTTCTTCTGCTTGCTGAGGTATTTCTGCTGGGTCTTCTTCAGAAGCTCTTCCCCTCCACTGATGGAGAGCAGAATGGCTTCAGCGTAGCGACAGTCGTTCAGACACAGATCCACGGCTCCCTCAAAGTTACCAACCAGCAGCGCCTGGCTTATCAAACCGTCCGTGTCTGCACAAATACACCTTCTGATCTGTATGCATCAACTTAGACGTGATAGAAATCTTGTATTTTTAACTTTCTAGGTTTTTACCACATGACACAGGGATTTGGAAGTGGGTGCTTTTCTTTGGGCTAAAGAAGTCCGAGGGGGAAACGGAGCCTGAAGTTCGAGCATCAGCTGCTGTGTCATCGGACCGCTGCAAACAGTAAAGTGTTGTTATAGCAGATAGAAACATCACAGCTAGAAAACTCTGAAGATAAACGCTGACCTCAGTGGTGAGCCGCTGCATCTTCTCTGCAAGGTCTTTGGCATCGACTCCAAACCCATTGGATTGAAAATTCTTCCCCAAACATTTAGAAATCTGAATAAAAATCGTTTTCACACTTAAAAGACAGAATGGGTTGGACTTTAATGACTGACACAGTGATGAAATGCTGATGGAATACCTTTCTATCCAATTCGTCTTTGCTGAAACCTAAAAGTTTAAGGAACTTTATGCGCGCCTCATCTTCAAAGTTCACCTGTGAGTAGAGGAGGTTGCTTAATGAAACATTTACAAACCCCGGGAACAGACTTAAGAGTAAAAATCAGGATCTACCAGAAGGAACTTCCATATGTCCTGTTCTGCATCGGACTTGGCGTTCTGAATCTTGGCCTGGCAATAGCTGTTGAAAGAACCCGATTGCAGCGTCGCCTGAAGTTCCCTGGAGCGCTGAAGAAACTCTGTCTCCGTGGAAACCTGGCTTATAAACACTTGCCTGGGGATGGGTTGTGGGCTCTGCATGGGAGGCACCTTTGTGTTCTCAAAGGTTATCAGCTTTCCACCAAACTGACAAACAACATGAACAGTTTAGCTGCATAAAAAAATAGTAACTTATCTATTTTCATGCATATTAAACAATATCACAATACACTCACGGCAAAGGAAGCTCCAACTGGCCTGCGCACCCATTTAGGTGGCTTCTTCAGGGGAGGAACTATGGTGTCCTGCGCAGTGGGCTGAGGGACCTGTAGAGGAGGCAGTACCTGTCCTGTACCAAAGGGATCCATGGTGTCAAACGAGGATGAGATCTATTCAGCCAGAAAATAGAAAACGTTCATAAAAGCGTCTCTTTTGCAACAGAAAAAAAAAATTAAGAATTATTTTCTCTTTCAAAAAAAAAAATAAATAAATAGAGCAAAGCCTGAAAACATTCCACAAAATGATTTCAAGATTTTTCTATATCAACCAATTAGAAGATACTTTGCTATCATGACCACCAGCACCACCTTGTGGACAAATAATAACCGTTTAGAGACGATCTTTGTGAATCATTAAATTAATCAAGGTGAGCCCAGGCACCTTATCAACTGTGCTTTGCTGCTGAGCTTTCAGACTTCCTCCCATCACAGAATAAACCGTGATCCTCCCATCAAATGACGCGGTCGAAAGAAGGGCTGGATTCCTGGGGCACCACTGGACATCAAAACACCACTGGTTGGTTGTTGGAAGCTCATAAATGACCTAAAATAAAAGGAGACACCAGTTCAGATCAACGGAGTCGCCAAGTTTAAACTCAAAGAAGTTAAGAAAGCAGAAACGAAGGTGACACACCTCTCCAGTGTTAGGATTCCAGCAGAGGATCCTGTTGTCTTTGGCACTACTCAGCAAAAGCTCAGAGTCAGCTTGGCTCCAAGATATGGACAGAATCCCCCTGTGAGACAGCAAAAGTGGGACACCTGGAGACATTGTGCAACTTTACTAAGAAATGAACGACTGTCGGGTAAATGATCCGAGCCTTACCTTGTGTGTTTCTCGAGGACTTTAAGAGGCGATGTAGCAAAACGGAGGTCCCACATCTGGATGACCGGCAGTCGGTCATCTTCAGAGGCTAGCACCAGCTGAGTGGCTACATCAGGGTGCCAGAGCATTCCTGAGCAGTGCATCTAAAAGTAAATCACAGGGTCCAAAATATCAATATACTACATCACTAAGGCTAGGTTCACACTGCAGGTCTTGATGCTTGATTTGTTTTGTGTGGCCGTTCACACTATGACTGAAATGCAACATCAAAGTCTCACCAGTGTGAACGCTCCATGACCCCAAAGCAACCCGCATGCGCAGAAGACAAGAAGTCACACACGTTGGAGTTGAAATCACAATTCCTCCACAATTTCAGGATCACACCTGCTTAGTTTCCCATTTTGGTCTGGAAACAGTTTCAAAAACTGTAAACGACCCCCCGCGAAGACCGAGATCAGTGAAACGCTTCCCTCCAGCAGCTCCTCCTGCTTTCATGCTCCCGTTTATTTAATTCCTAAACTCGACAGGATGCCCAGACTCCTGAACCCTTGTGTCAGCGCTTCTCCTCGGAAACGTCAACACACAATGCTCACCTCCGTTGACTCGGTGACGTAGAAGGAAAATTTAAATACGGCATGACCGTTCATCACATCAGATATTCACAACACAATCAGTCATTCACCCACTCACACATTGGTGATAAACTACATTGTAGCGACAGCTGTCCTGGGGACCACTGACAGAGGTGAGGCCTGCCGAACACTGGTGCCACTGGTCCCTCCGATCACCACCAGCAGGCATGATGAGTTAAGTGTCTTGCACAAGGACACAACAGCAGCATTCTCTGGTCGGACATGGGATCGAACATGCAACCTTTCAGTTAATAGACAACCCGCTCTACCTCTTGAGCTACTGCTGATAATATGCCAGACAACAGAAATTAGGTGGAACCGTAAAACTGAATGACATGTGCGGGGTTTCCGCTATGAGTATTTTGCCGTGAGTATATTAAAATATTTTCAAAAGAAGAAGGAGGAACACGAGGAAGATGTTGAGGCAACGGTAGACGAAGATGCTCATTGTTCTTTATTGTGACGCAGTTCCCTCAAGTTCTGACAGATAGTGATCTGTACCGTGATACGTGTAATATTCTCAACGTTCCTATTGGTGATTGAAACAAATCTAAAATGTTGCTAATATATTAGACAAGTACACAGGCTGAAGTGGAGGAGGTGAGTGAGGGAGAGACAAGTGGAGAGACAGAGCAAGGAGCAGCATAAGTGAGTACGATGAGGGATAGAGCAGCAGGGAAGCAGTGAGAGAGAAGAAAAAAGTAAACACAGAGAATCTGGCTGGGACCCAAAATGGACTGAAATCACTAAGTTCCACCTATGGCTGTAGCACAACAATCAACGTGGGAATCAAGCATTACAATCTATTTCAAGTTGAATATATATATATATTTTTATTAAACAATAAGCGGTTTTACACACTCCTGCAGGAATGTTCACCAGAAAAACATACAGTCTCGTGGCTCAGAACGACCATCTCCGTACGTCTTTGCCCCAAATACCGATGTAAACTGCATTTAAAAAGTCACCAACCCTGTTGCTGTGATCACTGATCTTTATAATCGGCTCATTCTTCCTCAGGTCCCACACGACTGCTTTCCCACTGGGGTTGGCAGAAGCCAGGATGTGTTGGACTTGCCGGTTCCAGGACACAACACTGATGTCTTCAGCAGGCTGAAACAACAGACAGGAGCTGTTTGTGTCAACAAAACAAAACCCTGATCATCAAATGCAAATGTCATGCAAACATGGCTGGTGCACACAGAAAATTAACTTTTGGCACAAGCGCTTGATTTTGAGGGTTCTGGTACTTTGTGAAAACTACTCTGGGTCTCTGTGACAAAAATAAATCTTGTGATTTCTCGGCCCGTACTACTAACCTGTGTTTTTGTTCCTGGTGTCATTGGGCTGCTTAAGTTGTTTAGGTCCCAGATGTATATCTCTGAATCGATTGCTCCAGATGCAAGAAGATTACTCTAAGATGAAAAATACAGATGCTATAAATTTAGTGACTTGTATATATCGCCTCCAATGACACAGACTGCTATGGATTTTTACCTGAAACGGGTTGAAATCGAGTGCTCTGACAGGTCCTGTGTGTTTATCAGACTGTCCAACCACCGCATCTGCTCCAGAACTAATTATGGCCTCTGGGTTATACACAGTCAGCGAGCCATTTTCACTCCCACCAACGAGTCTCCCTCCTGTACAATCAGCTCCCATTCCGAAATTTACCCATACAATACTATGCAACCTATGGAGCAGAGCAAAAATAATGACCTTGGACAATGTTGCGGAGGTCTGCGTACTACAAAATGTTCAGGGGCTAATTTCTATCAATACTGCTTATAAATAAAATAAACAGAACAGAAAACTACAAAACTAACAAAGATGTATATGATTATTTTTTTATTGAGATCATATTTATATGAATTCATATTTGTTAGACGTTTGGTAAAACTTGTTTATTTTAATACTTTATTGGTAATAATGGGAGCAGTATTGTGCCTCATTAATTCACAAAGAAACTTGACTTGATGTATTACCTGTTAGTAGTGGGTAATGATCCTTTGAGGTGCATCTCCAGAGAGGGGTCAGCAAAATCCATCTCAAATATCTCTATGGCAGCTGTAGTGTTGAAGGAAGCATCAAGCTGTTGTGCTGACGTTCCTAAGGCCAGGCGGATGGGATGGTGTCCAGCAGGACTCCACGCCTGGTGGGCAGTCCTCTGGATTTCCTTCAGCCTCATCTTCCTCTACAGGTGTTCAAGATCCTGGACGAATGAACGATCACCACACAATGCCATTATGCTTGATTAGTGAGAAAACTGTTAGTAGCTTTTCAGATTCAGTTTTAAACTGTCACCCATAGCATGTTTTGACCCACATGGGAGAACAAAATGTTTTATTCAGGCTAGCACATAAGTAAATAAAATATCACTAATCAATACCAAGCGTAATGAAACGAACTCAGAGGCTGTTAATTAAGATCATAAACACAATAATAATTATATTTAAATCGTATAAAACATACATGTCCTAGATTGGTGCCGTTTCTAACTTGACTCAAACACTTTCAACCGAACTGACTCCGACTAATACCTGACACTGGATCACCTATAACAGTCAAATCGAATGGACTTGAGTAAAACCCGTTTTATAACAACCTTTATAGGATAACTGCATTTAAATTAAACAAACTTGGTTATCAATAATGTAACTGACATTGAACGAGTAGCCAGGAAGTTGTTAAATTAATGTATTTCAGCTAGTATGACAAGCAGCTAAACAGCTAGCATCTCGCAAGAATGACAACCAGAGAGCGTTAGCCTTTCTGACGAAATTACATTTTACAAAGGAAATCTAACAGCACTCAATGGGCCAGTCCTTTAATTCCAACATTAAAATGATGTATGTTGACCACAGCTTAAAAACGAATATGGGTCTACGGGTCAACAACTGGCAGTTTTGATTCCAGTGCATATCCGGAGCCCATAGCTACTAAGCTAATCAGCAGCCACCACCCTGTCAAAGTTTTAAAACAGAAAACTATACTACTCACAAGGGAATTTTAAAGCCATACGTGGAAAAAAAAAATCATATTGTATAAATCTACTTACGTACGCTTTGTGTATCTCAACTTGTCCGTACGCATTTACAAGCTCCACTGCTGCTTATCAGCCGAGCTAGCTGCTCAGACCAAAGGGCTTCTGCCGTGTTGTCACTGGACTACGGAAGCCTACATGGACATTTTTCATCAGAAAGCGGTCCAACGTAACCTCAATACCCCCTAACAATTTCCCAACATAAATACAACATGAAACTATGATAAACCCATACATAGACGAGAAAACTTATTTTTCTTAGAATTTCAATTAGATTCACAACATTTGTTTTTATTTTGTGTAACAATAAATCCTTTTGGTAACTTCTGAATTTTCAAATAAGAAAGCCACACAAACAATAATACAGTTAACATTAGTCTTTATTCTTCCCAGAAATATATACACAAGTAAGTTTGTATTTTAGGTATTAGATTTCATAATGTTTGATTTCCTCAGGTTGTTTTTCAGGATCTCCTCCCCTCTCCAAGTACAGGTCGTTGTAGGGATACTGCTTTGGAGCCTGAAACCGAAATATAAGTAACAATAAGTAAAGAAAACTGAGACATTTTTCTGCATAAGATGTGCAACACAAAAGGTAGTATTTTAATACACCTTGTAGACCTATTTGTATTTTTTTTATTCGTCCAGGAAGAAATTGAGGTAAACAGTCTAAACAAAGATCCTCAAACATCCCTCTTCCCAGGTACCTCTTTCAGGATGACACTGAGGTATTCACAAGCAGGCAGTTAAATATAATTTTACCAGCAATTCCTGTGGCTGTCTCGATGCCTACTCCCAGTGGGACATGCATACATAAACAACTCACCAAGACATTTAGAAAATCAGCCCTACCCAATTTACACACAACCGTAACAAGCTTCATAAGATACAAATAAACACCAACTCTACTCATTAAACTTTCCTAAATGGATCTCACTCCATCCTTAAGGATGGGCCTCACCACCTGTAAGTGCAAAATTATTTTGGCAGTTTATTTTTGCGTGCTCCTAAAATATATTGCTACCCAACCCTCATTATTCCCATTAGTACACCACCAGCAAAACAGTGATGGTGGATGACGGCACATAAAAACTTTCTTCTAAGGTGCTAAATTATTTAATATTTTAATACTCTTGTTACTTTGGGGAAGAACCCAACTTAGCATAACAAATGCATAGGGACAAAATGTATGACTTATTAAAAAAAAGTCTGCAAAATTTAGTGACTCAAAAGTAGTAGCACATATTGTATTTTGTGTGGTGTTGATAATATTCCTGGGCCTGCATGATAAAACTAAGGAGTTAAATTAGAAAGAAATACATTTTCTCGCTTTGGTTTGAATACTTACAACAGGTTGGTAGCATGGGAATTTTGCCCCCACATAGAACATGAACAACATGAATCCGATGAAACCAAACAGATGCTTGCACATTGTGGACCACGGCACTGGGCTGGGTGAGGTATCGACACGATTTCTGATGAACATGTCAAAGTCCCAGTGCATCTAAAAAGCAACAAACACAGTTTTTTACTGTTATTAGAAACAAAAGTATAATAATTAAAATAATTATTCAATCAACTATTTATGAAGGCATTAAACAGCTTTTAGAGAAGCAACATATCAGAGTAACCAGAGCGAGCCAAACACAGAAAAAAACAATATTATAATTATAATAAGACTAATTACCAGATTATACAAATAACCAAGGAATTTAAAAAATTAAGCAAATTCAAGGTTTAGATATGAGATGCAATAATGTTTAAAATATAATCCTGCATCTCTAATAATCCATTACTATTGCTGTAGTAAAAAGCACATAATGGCAGTAAATTAAAATGTGGCAATAAACTTTTCTTACAGAAGCCAAAACATAGTTCATCATAGAAACAAAATAAATTAAAATAATAAAAAAAAAACAACAACTGGATCTCGCTCTGCAAACAAGTAAGACTTTATACTAGAAATGGCTCAATATGGGTTTTTTGTAATGCTGATACCGATAACTAGAGGTAACGGTCAGCTGATGGCTGATATATGTAGGGCTGAAATAAATCATCGAATGGTTCGATTCATTAAATTCCTCGATTCTTTTTTACTGATTCGAAGCTCCACAGTCTGAACACATTTTACTGGCGCACTGTGTGGCGATCTAGGTGCTGTGGAGGAAAATAGAGAAACCAGCAAAGACAGAAACTTCAGGGTTTCCCCCAGCGCTTTATAAGCCTGGCAGCCCGCTAGGATGACTAGTTTGGCTAGGATGGGCGATTTTAATACAAACCTAAAATGTGAATGAAATGTTAGTCAAATTTTGTTCCATAAAATATTTATTAACTATACATATCAGCTGGGGAAAGAGGGAACACCAATTTAATATATATTATTGAGCTTTTTATGTGTTCTGTTTTCATATTGATAGCAGCAGACCACAATCCAGTTGACGACGTTTCACTTGATATATCGGTCGGTCGATATTTACCGTTTTTTAGATATCTGTATCGACCAACATACATGTAGTGGAGTTCATTTAAAGTTAGGCACGTCCCTGACCAGCCCGGTGCTACTGCAGAATTTAATTAAAATGTATATTTACGTTCATAAAAAACAACTGCAACTTAAATTCTCTAAAAAGTTACTTTCCAACTAAAATGAACTTTCATGTACCAGTTTCGATTTTAACACTGAGCAGTGCACAGAATTTAAATTCAACATAGATTAAATTCAGTGTTCAAAAACGGATTCAGCTTCAGAAATGTTGTGCATCAACTGATGTTATTAGTGACATTTTAGCATGAAAGAAAGATGAAAAACATCTAAATATCAGATATGAAAATCGGCCCAAAACATAAGCAGCAAATATCTGTCATCGCCTGACCATGACCTCTACTGATCATCATTGGTATTGGCAATAGAAAAATCAATATTGGTCGACCTCTAGTATAAACAATTATATGGAAGCAATCCTTTTGAAACGTTCAATAAAAAGAAGTTATACATACATTTTTCACTAGACATATTTAAAGTTTTGATCAATACATTGTGTCAGCCTACCATTTGCGTTGTTTGATTTTTTGTAACATTTATTTGATGAAAAAGTCAACAACATCCTGAAGTTCTTACCGGCTCAGCCCAGTTCCTCCTCAGGTCAGGGTGGTCCCACTGGTACCAGGGGTCTCTCTCTTGCTGGGACCTGTCTGGTAGTTTTGGGTAGTCACCGAAGCTATAAAAACAAAAAGATGGCATTTGGTTTTAAACACAAGTTTTGTTATTCACGAAAATACAGACATAGATGCACTCGGGCTTTCTTTATATGCAATGAATAATGCGGAAAAAAGAGTTACACAGCAAAACGTGAAAAGGTGTCGGATCTAATAAGCTTACCCCTCGCCGTTATCGGGATATGGTTCGTAGTCCTGAACCGTCAAATTGTACTTCTTCGCTGCAGCAGCTCTCTCCTCTGGGGTCTTTGGGTATGGACCAGGCAGACTGCCTTTTGATACACCGGAGGCTAGAACAACGATAAAACCATTTATAAATATGGTAAGTAGCGATAAACAGGTTCAATTCCCAAACGAATGAATAAAATATGGCAACTTTTATGTTCTAGTGGCGGCAAATCAACTAGCACATGCTAGCGTTAGCATGTCAAGGTTACCTCCATATAAAGATTCAAACGATTAGCTACGACAAACATCTTCGGAGAAAGCTACCGCACAGCTTGACCACATGAATAAAACCCCACTGACCTGCTCTACATCCCGATAAAAGGGCCGACAAGCCAGAACTTCTCCCCTTAGCGAGTGCCTTGGCCCACATTCGGAAACCAACACCGGCCATGTTTACTGGCCGCTGCGTAAATATACAGAATGAAATGAACGCATGCGCAGCTCCAGAAATACGGGTTGCGGGAAGGGCCAATCCTTCTCATCAAAACATTTATTTTTTTTCTTGTACGTAAATCTCACCCATTTCCACTCAAGAATTATATAATTTATTTACATTTTCAGCCCTCTGAGTCCCACTGGGTGGTAAGTGCTAAATTATGTTACAATCAACTAAACTGTCAAAGATGACCAAAATAATCACAATATTATTTCCAATAGTGTTTATTTTTATTTTGAGCAGAAGATCTTTGCTTATTTGCAAGAAATATGAAACACTGAAACTCCTCAGGTGGCTAAAGAGGACTTGTTCTCAGAGTGAATGCACCAAAGCTCCAACAAATGTCTCTCTTCACATCCGATCCGGCTCAGGTACATATGTGCATTGACTGAGGGATCATCATTCCGCCACCAGTGAAAGATCAAGCATGATCTATCAGAGGAGTGTTGTAATGTCCTTCTCCACTGTCTCAATCGGGCAGTGAAGTTCGTACCTGCAGCAACAGGAAGAGACATTTTTAAATACAATGCACTTAAGTTTCTTAGTCTGTTTTTGATGGTTTTACCTCTTGAATGGTACACCATCTGCATTAATTAGAAACTTCTCAAAATTCCATCTAATGTCATTGACTTTAATCGGAGACCAGTAGAACTTCTTAATGTCTCCTATGACAGGATTCACAAATGGGAGCGATTCCTGTTGAGAACAAGAAGAGGTAGAGACAATCTTCAATCTTATGACTCTTTTAGTTAAAAGTCCTTGTAAAATGCACAATATTACCTTTAGATAAGTGAAAAGAGGTTCTTCATTTAATCCGTTTACCTCAACCTTTGAAAAGACAGGAAACTTTGGTACAAACCCACCACCGGGTCTCACATACTTCAGAATATCGAGCATTTCATGATTACCCTCTGAAAGGAAAAATGCAAAAAATGTTATTTTGTATGCATGCAGTTCCAATATAATATAGAAATAGAAAAAAATGGGCTTTGTATAAAACATACTAAGTTAAAGTTAAAACAAATGTTTAACTTCTATCATGGACAAAAAAGTAGCAAATTGTTCAAGTATAATTTTTTTTAAATTAAAAAAATATCAAGTCTTTTGAGATCATTTTTGTTCTCCAAAATAACTTCAGTCCAGTGGTTTTATCTTTCTTTTATTGCGTCAAAAGTTATGTATTGAATTTTTTAAAATGAAACTAAATAGCTCGTAAACGAAAACATAGGTGATGGAGGAATAATCCTCAGTACTACCATTTACAGCACAACATCAACATTTCCTTAACTGAAGAAATGCTTACCAGGTGACTGAAGACCAAACTGGTTGCAGGGGAATCCTAACACAGTGAAGCTGAGGTTGTCAAACATTTCCATCAGTGCATTCATTCGATGGTACTGCAGGAAAAAGGCAAATGTTGTCAGTTATGCATTTCCATCAATAGCCCAAACATAATCCAACAGCACTCATGAAGAATTACCTCCTCTATTGTTGACCCTCAGAAGGTGGCCACGTTGACGATGAGAAGCACTTTCTCCTTGTAGATGCTCAGAGGAACCTGCTCTCCTTCCAATGTCTCAGCAAAAAAATCATAGATGGACATGTTTGCTGTAGCTTTCCTTCAGCTTGTATACAAGCTAGTCAGTCAAGAGAGAGTATTCACTCTACCATCCTGTTGACTCTCCTCATTCACTCAAATATAACTCATGGGTCAGCAGTTGTTCAGCATGACTGACTTCATTGTTACAGTGAGCAGAGGTGTGATGGCAGGGTGACCAACTGGTCAGCGTATACTGGGATGATAGCACCTCAAATAGAGGCAGCTACTTAGAATGGGGTCAATCAATGCTCCTAAATAACATTTAGGTTTCTGTTCCATAACTGATAACAAAAAAAACATAAACATATTCTTGTTATTTAGAGGGATTTGTGTACTGTAGCGTCACAGATGTAATGTGCCATTTTTGTCTTCATTTGGCAGGCAGTATATAGTTTTGTTATATAACCCAAACTCTGGATTATATTTGAATTATCTCTTGCTAATTTAATTTTACAATGAAAACTTTGCAGTTAGTATTTTAATGTGAAATTGCATTACAATAGATAATCATGATTATGTGTTTGGAAACAAATCTACAAATACAGTACTTAATGGACTGGTCCCCAGCTTCCAGTTTTAATTTTATGCACCTTTAATGATAATTACATCTATAACATTTTAATGCATTTTAAAATACTTATAATGTTAAACACAGTATTTGATTTTTGTGACAATTAAGGAATAATAATCTTTTATTCAGTTGTTAAATTTTGTTGAGTGAGGTCAAATTTAGCTTATCCCATCATGTGCATGGTGTGACAGTCACTAACAGAAACCCGCGGTTTGTATTGATGGTGCTGAAAAAATTTAAGACATAATTTACAAAATATCTTTTATTTAGAGATCTATACACCACGTTCATTTTCATCCTGATTATTTGAGCCACAGCGGGAAAAAGCGTTTTCAGTTTTAATTTTCATGATTTTTGCTTAGAGATACAAACCAGGAAAATTACGACTGATGCGTTCACATGTTTGTTGTAAATTCTGTTAACACAGGTTTGTGGGTCAGCATGTCAAGACAACAGTTTGTACATTTGTTTAATTTATTGTTTTCAAACTAAAATTTTGAAATTTTACCAACAAATAGTAAAAAAAGTTGAAGTTCTTGTGAAAACAAACCAACAAACAAAAAAGGTTTTAAAGTGACAATGTGTAGTTTTTACCATTAATCTCTGGAAATATCCATCGAAATGTTGTTGTAAACGAATAAAAAGATGCGCAGTTGTTGAAAAGCATTGTTTCACAACATATAACCATAAAAATTAGTTATAAAATACATAGGAGCGGGTCTAAGTCTCTGGGCGACGCCATATTGGATGCCATGTTTCCTTCTACAGAAGCCTGTGAGGACAAAACACATTTACTGGTTTGTAAAAAAAGGGTTACAAAACTTTCACCAATATTAAACATTGTTGTTTTACACATTTATCCCTTCACTTGTTGCCAGTGATGAAAGGAAGCCTGATGTGCTTGTTGTTTTGCTGGAGGTTGCACTCCCAAGGATTTTTGATCCTAAGGACCATCCGTTGGTAAGGTCGTGTTTGAACACAAAAGTAATGCTAGCTCGCAATGATTTAGGTATGTACTGCCCCCATCACCATGGAAAATACACACAGTCACTTTAAGGGGTTTTGATAAACATACAAATAACAACTAAAGATTGAAGTGAGTGTTGTTAATTGCTTTGACTGATTAATGATTTCCTGCTCAGGCTCTAAAACATACAAACGGAAAACATTATAACTATAACTATACACTATAACTATTATAACAGTCTATTTGTGCTTCATTGATACATCCAAGATATTTGATAGAGTTAACCACAGGAAACTATTCATAAAGCTGCAGCAAAGAGGTGTCCCATGATACTTACGCATCTTGGTTTATTGGTATGGTCAGCAAATGTTCCAAATAAAATGGGGTAACAGTGTCCCAGAGCCATTTAAGGTCAGTAATGGAGTCAGCATTCTATCTCCTCTTCTTTTTAACCTGTACATAAATGACTTCTCTTACTCTGTGATTAGTATCACCAAGAAAGTCAAATATCTTGGCGATATTATCACAGAGGACATGAGAGACGATGACGACATGTACAGGCAGTGCCGGATGTTATTTGCTCGGGGAAATACACTCGCTGGTAAATTTGGGTCTTGTTCTGATAAAGTAAAGAAAATTTTGTTTAAGGCTTATTGTACACTGTTGTACACGGCCCACCTATGGACCAACTATAATAAATGTAGTATCCGTGGGCTGCAGGTTGCCTATAATGATGCTCTGCGTTTGATACTGAGGAAGCCTAGATAGACGAGTGCAAGGGAGACTTTTGTAAACGTGAGGGTGAACACCCTACAAGCTACCTTAAGAAATTTTATTTACAAATTTATTTGTAGGCTGAACAATTCTAAAAATGTGATTAATTTAGTCGGCCATTTTGGGTTGAAATGGCAATTTTTACCCGTTTTGGCCGTTTTTAGGGTCCGCCTCTGATTGATTTACTCGACAATTTTTCGCACGATCGTCTCGAAATTTGTGGGAAATTTCTCAGAAGGGATGGGCAATCAAATAGAAAAAAATAAAACTGGCTTTTCATATATTCTGAGGGGGCGGGGCCAGGCCTCAAAGTTCAACTACTCGCCAAAAAAATATAAATGGCTATAACTTCATAACCGAATGGAAGAGAGTTACAAAAATTTCTGTGGTCATTCCTCATCCACCCATGAACTAAATAAAAGGTTGGATGAAGACATCACATAAGCCCCGCCCCCTCAGGACCAAAACAGTCAAGTTTCACTGTGATAGGTCCCAAATCGCCCCATTTCACTTAATCACCACAAATTTGTAGCTGTCAACTCAAGACAATTGGGGGTTGCTTGGCGTCACTTTATGGGCATTTTCAAAAGAGGGCGGGGCTGTGGCGGCGGGGCTGTGGCGGCGCGGCGAAGTTGCCTCCCATTTCGTCATTTCTAAAGATATCGTGACGAAACTTCTAGTGAGCGATCCTAGTCTGGACCCCCAAACAATCTGATGTAAAAATCCTGAGGGCGTGGCCTACTTTCTGAAATAGTGCCCCCTAGGACCATTAAAACTGTCAGCCTCAAGCCGTGCTTTAACTGAGAACTACAAAATTTGGTACACTAATGTAGTGCCTCGGGACCTACTAAAAAGTCTCTTGGAGCCAAGTTCAATGTCACACAGGAAGTCGGCCATTTTGGTCCAAGTACTCGATTTAGTGGTTTTCGCACACGTTGTTTGGAGAGTGATGCCCCGTCGCCCTCAAACTTCTGCTATGTACTCTTAAGACATAGGGGGAAAAATTCAACTGTCGGATTTTAAATAACTTGAAAGGTGTGAGCGTGGCTAAGCCTCAAACTTTGACCTGTTGACATGCCACTTTATTTACACAGCTCCCTATTGGACTCCTTTCATCCAATCACCAGCAATCTCTGGCAAATAGCAGTAGACAAGTTGAGGTCACTTGGTGTCCAGTGCTGGCAGGTTTTGAAAATGATGCCATGGCGAATTCTGGCGTGATGCCGTGACCTTACGTTTGACTGTAACTTCCACAAACAGCCACCAATCTGCACGAGACTCAAAATGGCAATCAACAATCATGCCCTTTAGCGAATGAGGCCCAAACAGTTAGTGAACGTTGTATAATATCACCACAGCGCCCCCTACATAACTTTAAAACTGTAATAACTCCTACAGACGAGGTCACAACTGCACTAAACTTGCTATATGTTATCACACAGTTGCACCCAACACAATCCTGTGGTCATTGGTTGATATCTATTTAGCTCCGCCCCCTGACAGATATTAGGCCCTGAATAACACATGCATAATGCAATTCACACCAAACTGCACACAAATGATGCATGGGCTGCATGGTGGCGCAGTGGTTAAAACTGGTGCCTCGCAACACGAAGGTCGAAGGTTCGAAACTCGGCTGCGGCCTTTCTGCGTGGAGTTGCGTGTTCTCCCCATGCATGCGTGGGTTTTCTCCGGGTACTCCGGTTCCCCCCACAGATCACAACATGCCCTATAGATTAAAAAAAAAATTGTAAGTCGCTTTGGGTAAAAGCGTCTGCTAAGCACATAAACATAAACATAAACATAAATGATTGCTGTCAACCTACAAACTGTTCCATGGGATATTTTCCTAAATTTGGGACAGCGCCCCCTAGATACAATAAAACCTTTGTAACTTCTACAAAAAAGCTACAAACTATATCAAACATGGTGGGAGTCATCACGGAACTGCAATCAACACATGTATGTGCTCACTCATTCAAATCACTTTAACTCTGAATTAGTGCAGCCCAGCGCTGAGAATGTGCTGGGCTGACCATGCGCTGACAGCCGATCACCGGATACATGGCAGTGCTTGAAGCTGATGGCAGCTCATTAACAAACATCCACAAACAATTAAGATGCATTTTCGCCTAATTTATTTACTGACAACGCAAAAAATAATCTGGTAAGTATAACTCACTCAACCTGGATGTAAGTGGAGAAAATTTAGAAAGTTTACTAAATTATATTGACAAAGTTTTTGAGTTTTTCCTTATGGGTCCAAAGAGATCAGCAGCTGAGACCGAAACACCTGGGACCAAGAGGAGCCGTCCTCAGGACTCGCCTGAGGCCTCATCTCCCCGTAAGGACATATTGGAATTATTAGATTCTATAGATAAACGGCTTCTGGGATTTGAGGGGCGACTTCATCTGCTTGAGGTTCTACACCAGGAGTTTCAGAACCTCCGAACATCTTTGGAGTTCATTCAAGAGCAGGTTGAGCGGCTCGCTGCTGAGAACATGTCTCTGCGGGAGTCCGTTTCTTCCCTGGAAGAGGGAATGACGTGGGTCACCCAGGACAACAAGATTCTGAAGGAGACGGTTTTGGACCTTCAGGCCCATATCATGAGGGATAATTTGGTGTTTGCAGCCCTGCTGGAGCAGACGGGAGGGGCAGAGAACTACGAGCAAACAATAAAAATCTTTCTCCAGACCCAAATGAAAATACCCGAAGAAACGGTAAAAAACATCATTTAGCATTTAGTTACTTATTCCATCTTATTCACATGAAGGCGTCATATTCTAGTCACTCACACACACATCTATGGATGCACTAAGGTTTGTCTCATGGAACGTACATGGAGCTGGCTCCAGAGAGAAAAGATTAAAGCTTTCTGATCAGCTAAAGAGAGTGCAAGCAGACGTAATATTATTACAAGAGACTCATAGATCTGCCACATCCGCAGATGAACTTAAAACACCTGAGGTTCCCAGCATCACACAAACATGCACATGGAACCTTGGGGGGTGGACAAGTCAGGGAGTGCGGGTATGGACCCCATTTCCGCATTCCTGTGGCAACCTGCCCCCCAATTTTTATTTGCACCTTAAACACTTCCACCAATGACATTCCACACAAACACTGGGAATGAGCACATTCAACGGTATTTGGCAAGGGGATCTTTCAGCCTCATCCCGAGTGCCGGTGCCCACTTCCAATTTTAAACTGCACTTAGACACTGAGGGCTGTGGGTGCAAGTGGGGTAGTGTGGTGGCATCAGCTGGCATAGGCGAGACGATGCCCGCACTGCCCGCTTACCACAGCTATGGAATACACCTCATCAACACTTACTAACACCATATTGGAGCAGGCGGAGGGAGACTAGGGGGTCTTAGCACACCTCTGTTGTCGCTTTGCTTCCTGGGGCTGGAGGCTAGGAGGGAGATCCGGCCGTCCTGTTGGGGTCTGGGGTGGTGGGTTGCTGTGCTCAGCGTTGGGCGGGGGAGCCTGCTCATCAGCACCCAAGCAGAAAGGGTCGAACTCTGGGAACCAGTAATGGTTGTACCCCATGTGCAGCAGTACCGGGACCAGAGTGAATAGGGTGTGTATGGGGAGCATGAGTGGGTGTCCGGCGTGCATTTTTGTAAGTCTTTGGTTGTGTGTGTATGTGTGAGCATGAGGGAGGGAGTGTGTGACTGTGTTTGTGTATGACTGCACATGTCAGGTGGGGCCTTTGACTCTTCCCTTCTCCTGGGACTTCTTTTGATGAAATAGATATTCGTCTCCCCTCTCCCTGCCACACGTGGTGTGGAGTGCGGTGCCTTGGTCTGCCTGGGTCGTGGCTCCCGGGTCACAGAGTTTAAGATTTTTGGCGTCTGCCTGACCAATACCGGTGGCTGCCTGGTGGGGTCTGGGTCCCCGGGCTCTGCTGGGTCCCCGGCGGGAGTGGTCGCCCCTGGGTCCCGGGCTCGGCCGGCTGGGGGGTGGGAGGCTGAGAGTAAATCTGTAAGGCTTGTCACCAGCATTCAGACATCAATTCTGTTTGCTTCACAGCCAGACAGGAAACGTGGGGGGAAAAAAAATCACTTTAACTCCGCCCACTTACAGCCTTTTCGGCTCTAGATGACCCATGCAACATTTGATTGATGCCAAATTAACAGAAAACCATCTTTGATGACCAAAGATTATGTCCATGGGATTTTGTTGTAAATGCTCACAGCACCCCTAGATAGGTTCAAACTTTATTAACTTCTAAAGAAAAGGTCAGAATGGCATTATACTTGGTTTGTGTCATTACGTGACTGTACCAAACACATTGATGTGGTTGTTGGTTCAAATCCCTTTAGCTCCACCCCCTTTCAGCTCTCTGGCTCTAGAAAGCACACGCAACATCTGATTGATGTCAAACTACCACAAAGCCATCTTTGACTCCCTGAGAGGACCTCAATGGGATTTTTATGTAATTGGTCACAGCGCCCCCTAGATAAGATTAAAAGTTAATTAGTTCCTAATACAAGGTCAGACTGGCATCAAACTTGGCTTGTGTCATCACATGACTGCATCAAACACATTGATGTGGTTGTTGGTTCAAACCCCTTTAGCTCCACCCCCTTTCGGCTCTCTGGCTCTAGATAACACACGCAACGTCTGATTAATGCCAAAATAACAGAAAACCTTCTATGTCAACTAAAGTTGACCTCAATGGGATTTTTCTGTAGTTGGTCACAGTGCCCCCTAGATAACTTTAACCTTCAATAACTTCAAAAACGTGGTCAGAATAGCATTAAACTTGGTCTGTGTCATCACACCACCAGTGTGTTAAAGATAGAGCAACCCCTAGTGGTGAGATGTGTAATTTAATGGTGGGCTCAGAGGAGAGAGTCAGGGTGAGGGTGAGGTGCGGACGAGGAGACCGTCAGCGTTTTCTGGTGTTGGGGTGGTCGACGTTTCTGTTTCGCGGACGTGCCCGGGACACCGGCCAGGCCGGAGCGGCGAGGGCCGAACGACGCTGCTTGCAGCTTTAATTTATACTTTATTTTCACACCACTGTCATTATAGTTTCTTGTTTCTGTTTTCATGAATATTTTGTCTCTTTAGCCTGTCGCAATGTGTTCATTTCGTGTTATCTTATCTGTACAATGTTTTTCTACTTATGTGAATTGGACTAAGAGTCCTGAATAAAGAATTATTGACTATTATGTAATAGCAGTGAGACTCAGTGGCAGTTCAGTACACATTATTCCAACGGTCCCTGAAAGCAGCATTTGGTTTGGGTTACACCTCAAACGCTTTCAAAGATGCTAAAGCAAAATATGCTGCTTTGGCATATAATTAAAGACCAACGGGTCATTAAAAACGCTATTTAACCCAATCAACACACAATGGAGGAAGAAGCTAAGACGCAAACGTGAGTGGGTTTTATAATGTTTTCATTTCTAAAAAGCAGCGGAATCGTTGAACCCGGCAGACTAGCTCACCGGCTAACGGCTAAGCTTGTGAGTGGTGACGGTTATTCACGGAAATGTAGCTTGTCCTATTTTAACGAACATTTTCTGTTTAGTGGTTAATAATAGCGACGGTGTTAATGGGACGCTCTCCACATTCAGCGTCATCGTTACTGCTTTGTATCCTCATGGAGAGATTGGTTGTTTGTGTTGAGGCGTTTTATAGGCAGGTCGCAGGGTCAAAGGTCAGCTGTAACACGGTTTGCCCTCCTGCAGATGTCAGCTCTTGGATCTGCCCTGGGAGGATGTGCTCGTACCACATATTTTGTCCCATTTACCGCTGCAGCAGCTTGTCAGCCTGCAGAGGGTGAGCAAGCAGTTCCACAGCCTGGTCCAGGTTTTTCTTGCTAACTGCAGGAGCTTTACGTTATCAGTGGTGAGTAACTATACAGGCTGTATTCTCTTATATTGTCTAGTTTTTGAGCCATTTGATTAGCTTTGTTTTCATGTTTTCAGATTGGACCATGCATTCCAAAAGAAGCCTTTTGCACCATGTTAAAGGACAATAAAGTTCTCCAGAACTTGTCTCTTCAGAATTGTTCAGATTGGGTTTCGGACAAGGAGCTGCTGCCAGTTATCGGTCAGAACCAGCATCTGCAGAGGGTGGACATGAGCGGCTGCGCCTGCCTTACCCGCCACTCTCTGGTGGCTGTGTCCTTGAGCTGCATGCATCTGCAGCATCTTGGCCTGGCACATTGTGAATGGGTGGACAGCCTGTCCCTGCGCAGCCTGGCTGACCACTGCGGGGGACTCCAGTCCATCGACCTCACCGCCTGCCGCCAGCTGAAAGACGACGCCATCTGCTACATGGCCAGGAAGTGTTTGAAGTTGAAGTCTCTATCGTTGGCAGTCAATGCCAACATTACAGACGAGTCTGTGGAAGAGGTGGCCAAGAACTGCAGAGAGCTAGAGCGGCTGGACCTGACAGGCTGTCTGCGGGTCAGAAACCAGTCCATCAGGTATGCTGTGCCTTCATTTTAAGTATGAGTGCCAAACCTGCCCACGCTTTCCCACGAAGCATCTCTCACGCTCACCCACCCACAATAACTCCTCCTTGTGTGCACAGGACTCTTGCAGAGTATTGTCCGAAGCTGCAATCCCTGATGGTGAATCACTGCCACAATGTGACAGAGTCGAGTCTGGATCCTCTGAGGAAGCGGAACGTAGTGATTGATGTGGAGCCACCTTTACAGAGGGCTCTGGTGCTTCTGCAGGATGTGCTGGGGTTCGCTCCATTTATCAATCTCCAGATTTAGGCAGACATGTTTACCCAACAGGGGCATAAAGGGTAGGTAAAAGGGTCTGTGCTGGATGAGTTTCTGACACATTTATAAACAGATTTACAAGATTCTTACAGGTATTTTTGTTTTCACAGCAGTTTTTCTTAAAGCTGCATCACATGAACCTGTGTTTGAAGAAATGCTGAGATTCTTCATGAAGATCAGGATGCATTCTTACAAGTGTGTGGCAACACAAGTTTCCCCTGAAGTGTGATTTATGATGCATTTTTACAAAAATAAGTTTTATTTTGCAAAATCAAAGAAGGAAGCCATGTATGTTTTCTAGCTTCACCGCCTCGTGTCCCAAAGTCGTCACTGCACTGTTTTTCTTTCTTCACTTGTAACGACGAGGCTTTATAGCAAAATGCTTTTAACCAAAATGAGATCTATTGGTTTGTTGCTTGTTGAAACAAAATGCAAAAGCAATTGTCTTCTGTTTCTTTTGAAACATTAAAAAAATGTTTGTGGTTATAAAATGTTTAATTTTGCATGGGCGTCTTTAAACTGCAGCTAACACGAATCAAAGTGAGTTTTCCTGACTTCAAATTTATCTGCTGTTTTCCCCAATTCCCAATAAAAATTGAAACTGATTTCCAGCCTGTAGATACCCAGATATCAAGTGTTGACAATATTTGAAGGAACTGACTTTTTAATTCTTAATATTTGCACATGCTCAGGCTTTGTATTAGTTTGAATTTATAAAGACTGCTTCCCACGGAGTCTCTAAAAAGATTTTATAAGAAGAGCTTGTTGGAGTGTTTCTGCTGTTGGATGAATTATGAATAAAACACTAAATGTTAAACCGATGCCCATAACGGTTGCTGCTTCTTTAAAAACCATGTAAGTGTAATGACATAATTAAACTTTTGTTCTGTGGCTAAATCTTAGAGTCTTTTAAACTATTTTTAAATAAAACATTCATAAATACTTTATGTTACACACTTGATTTTTTTTTCAGCTATAAACTGGGTAAAAATCACCCCGATAAAATGTTTAGATTTGATTTTGTCTGGAAAAATAAATGTAAATGTTTTACAATCCTGGAAAAATATTTATCTCTCAGATTTTTGAGAATACAAACACATTTCTCTAACGTATCATGTGAGTTGTGGACCGTTTTCATGTAATCTTTGCTTTTGAGGATTTTTGTAGCTTGTTGCCACAAGGTAGCAGCATCGAGTCACAAACTAGTCTCAATTTTGCTTTCTGAAAGCTTGCGCTGTTTTTTGGAAAAGAAAATTCCACAGAAACAATAATAGTTTATAATGTTTTATTTTTCAGAAACTTAAATTAAAATTAAGATAATTTACAGATTTATCTGTTTGGGACAGTGAATACAAGCCCAAGGACCTTGTTATCTTCTGACCCAGCCTTTGCAGCACAATAATTTGAGTTCCCTTTGATGCCACAGCTTCCTCTGGTTTCCTCTGGTGGTCCACTTGGCAGCCTTTCCTGCATCCTGTCACTGTGACAACACAACAGGTCTATTTTCCACATGATGGCATGATTTACCCCATCTGCTGCACGCTGTCCACAAGCTGAATTTGTGCTATGTTGTTTGGAGGGCTTTAGGGATCGGTCAGCATCCTTCTGTTGTGCTGATCATAATGTCTATGGTGTTGTGACTCAAAAAGTACAATATATTGTTGGATTTTAATCCAGACTCCATATATTTTTCTGTAAAAACACACGTTTGTTGGCTCAGAACATTTTCCACTGGCACCTCTTAGAAAGAGTTTTAGACCGTCAGTCTGAGTCACGACAGCGGCCCACCAGGCTCCTGCTCTTGGTGTGAAGCAGCGCTCTGCGGGTTAAAAATATTTCAGACTACATTCATCATCCAGGACCTCAATTAGCATTGATCTGCAGGAGGAAAAAGAAACATCGCTGCAATATCATATTCCACGGAGCAATTTCTGTTCCAGTGATTGAGTGTACAAGGAGATTTCTCAAACATAGTCAGCCAAACATATTTTGTCTTCCTGTCAATAATTTGGCACTTGTCTAAATTATTGATCAATAGCAACTGATCATTCTATAGCAGGGTGCAACAGCGAAGTGGCCTCGTTCTATTCAGGATGCAGCTTTTAGCTCCAGGCACTGTGTAATATATTGCACTTATTAAAATGAGGAATAAATCAGAGTTTAATCTCCAGCTGCTTACAAAGTCCTGGCTGACAACTGCTACTTAAAGGATTGTGAGTTCTGTATATGTGTGTGACATTACACACAAACAATAAGGGTGGGAATGGCATCAAAGTTGTTTTGTCCCTTTTTAAAAATTAAAATTTTATAATAATTTTAAGTTTGATGAAAAATGTAACTATTAATTTCTTTTTTTAAATAATTAATGATCGAATCAGTAAAAAACACTTATGAAATAAATATAAAAGTTGGCATTTGCCTCCTACAGTCCTCAGGTCCTCCTGTAGAGGGCAGAAGGCGTGATTTGACGCGAGAAAGTAATAATCCTGTTAGAGGTAGAGCTGTCAGAAGTACATGCACCAAACATTTGGCTTTATGGAGAGACTAAATTAAATTATGTGTGTTTGTAGTATAAAATCTGCACAAAATGACACATATATAGTTTTTGTGTATAAAATACCTGAAAAAAAGGCTGCTCAAAATATATTTTTTATATTCCAAAGGATAAAAAAAAAAGGATAAAACAAAACGTTTTGTCAAAAAGCCAGTCCAGTTTCTGTTAGTCACCACATTATTGTTCCAGTGACCCTACATTCAGTGGAGCACTGAACCAATAAGGGGAGATCCCATCCCTGTTGTGTTTCCCACATAATCTCTGAGTCTGAGGCTCAGTTTAAAGTCCAAAATCCTTTTAAAGAACAAGTCACCCCTAAATCAACTTTGTTTTGGCTGATAAACAAAGGGTGTTCCTCAATGTCAAGGCGCCTGGCCTTGCGAGGCGATGTCTTGCTAGGTCAGGCACCTTGCTTACGAGGACATTGTCCTTCCTTGGTCAAAGAAAACGGTTAAATGGAACATATTTGCATCACGTGACTATGGCTTCCACCGCGGTCACGTAATGTCACATGACATGGGAGATAACGTTATATTTTGTACGTATTAGTTTCAATATAAATATGAAACGAGCCTTTTACTTTTTAAATTATGTATATAATTGTTGAATTAAATATATAAGTGAGTTACTACCCACTAGCCACCAAAGTTGCAACTAATAAGCAACTAACCAACCATTGATAGCTTCTTTGGATCTAAAAAAAACCTTAAAATTGGTTGACTTACTTTTAAACTTGAAATTTGCCCCAGAAGTAGCTGCTGGCTTCTGATCTGCCATCGTTTTGAAAATACTGCTATGTATTCTGGGTAATTTTTGACCAAGGCTAGGCTACAAGACACCTCCCATGTATCCTTGCTCAGCTAGCTAAACGGCTAACAAACGGAGAACAAACGCCTCGGTAGAACATGAACATTGGAACACGTCTTGGCGGCTCCTGATGACGTATCTGCTAGGCAACCGGGGCGGGACCAAGACATCAAGGCGAGGTCCCTTGGCATTGAGGAACACAAATGAGTGTCTAACCATGCTGTAGACACGCGTAGTCAATAATTTGGCACTTTAGTGCATCTTAGTTAAAATTTAAATATTCTGCCTAAAACTGCCAGTGTTGCATCCTCTTCAGGTAAAAACTCTGCACTACATTTGAATCTAAATCTGCCTTCTCTATTGGCTAAGAGACATGTATGGTACCAGCTAACATCATAGGGTACCTATGACGTTAGCTAGTACCATATGATGTCATAATGCCATTGTAAGCCTATGTGTTTGCATGTTTGTGTGTGTATTTGTTAGCGGCTCCGCCCTGTTGATCTGCCAGGCAACGCCTCCTTGTAGCACATTTTTCAAACAGGAAATGGGAGTGGAGTAAGACTCTGGAAGAGGCTGACTTGCTCTTTAAAGATGAAAAATGCCCATTTAATCAAATTTACAGTATCGTGAACATGACCTTTCCATTTGTTTTTGGGTCTTTTTTTTTGTTTTTTCATGTTTTAATTTTGATGTGATTTTTCATGTTAAGTGCTTCTTGCTGTGATCAGCTCTATGTAAATAAACTTTATTTCCATCTCATTAGAAATAATCTCCTTAAGCGAGTGGTGTTTGCGCTGCTACGGTCAGGTTATAGGTGTGAACATGGCTGCTGAATTGCTTTCGACTGAACCATCATCATCTACCAATTCTCATCCCAACTCTGCCATGGGATCCACTGGTAACCTCTCTCGTATTCATTTTCTCTTTCACTTTCCTCACATTATTTTTTAATCACGTTTTACTTCTCCCAATTTTATGATATTTTTCAATCATTTTTATTTCTTATTTTTTAAATTTTTGTTTTTTGTTTTTGTGAAGGGCCTCGTGAATTTTATCTTGAGGGGCGCTATATAAAAGCTAATTTCTTCTTCTTCATATCTCTGGGAAAGCATGTTTCATTCTCAGTTTGCTCTGAGGACTGATGATTTCTCTGAGGTGCATTCCTCTTCTCAAATCAGTTATAAACAGACTCCAGCTCACCAAGAACCTGCAAACGATACGACTACTAAATGATGTTTGATTCCTTTAAATATAGTTAAAGCATGTTCTAAAATAATTCCTGAGCCATTTGGCACAAGAACAAAAAACAATTCTGATTTATACGTACATGTTTTAGCATTTCCTCTTGTGTAAATATGTAAACACAACATAAAATTTAAATTAAAAGAATAAAATAAATCTTCAGGAGCAGTTCTTGTGTAACAGTAATCTTTATTATTTAAATATTTAGTAAATAATAACATTTTCATCTGCAGCTGTGTGAAAACCCGATGCTGCTCAAGGAAATTGATCAGAAACGAGTTTGAAATACTTTACAGCCCAAGTAGTCTTGATTTAAGTGGAGCAGAGAATTACAGCAGCCATTCACATGGGCCAAAAATGGTGTTAGAGATTTTGTTCATTTTCATATTTTTAATTAAGAGGCTTTCCCCTTCGTCTTCCATCAGTTATTTCATTTATTTGGTGTAGTTTATCTCATCCAACCATTCATATACAAACTTATTGGATCCCGGGACTTAAGGATCCATCTTTTGGTCACCAGAGAAGCATAACTAATGATGACATTACAGTGCCTTTGTGAGCGTCGATCAACCAAGCAGGAAATGATGTTGGGTTTTAAAATCGGCATGATTAAACATGTGTGTTTAAAATCTGTGGGGCTCACTTTAGGCAGATTTTAAAGTGGTGATGTACTTGTGGAAGATGCTGATGAACCTCTGAAGGGTTCATATGTGTGCTCAGCATGTGAATATTAAAAATAGAAGCCAAATTAACCAAAAAATAAGGAGGCACGGTGGCATGTTTGTAAGTGAATGACAATACGATGCAAAACACCTACAGGATTTATTATGTTATTAAGTGTTTTTTTATTAGCCTCTTCCTCAATATTGTGCTTCTGAATGCACTAGAAACATAATCAGAGCTAACATAATGCACCGTTTCATTATGGGATTTTTAAAAGAGTTTTATACATTTTTATCAAATTATAATAAAAATAATTGTAACTATTTACTTTTTGTTTGGAAAATAGTAGTTTGTTGCTATTCCACCAAGATCAGGGCAAGTGACTATTTGCCCTGACTAGTATTTAATTTAATTTAATTTAATTTAATTTAATTTAATTTAATTTAATTTAATTTAATTTAATTTAATTTAATAATTTTATTTCATGATTTGTTTTGTTTCTGATCTATGTGAAGCACTTTGTGATTCTCTTGTGATGAGTGCTATGTAAAT